TGTTTTAATGTAAATGGCGTCTTGGAACTTTTCCATTTTTTTCAAAACTTAAAAAACCAACCGAACTTCGTCAGGGTACACCCAGGGGTTGCATTTCTGATATCCAAGTATGACTGCTCCAGTCCTTTTGTTTTTCGTGATATGGCGTTTTTTATGATTTTTTTTTCAAAAATTTTATATAAAAAAAAGACTAACAGAACTTCAAATTCTCAACCAAATGGCGGGGTGCTGTCAGGGTGCACTCAAGTGTTACAGTTCTTACCTCCAAATATGGCTGCTACTACCCTTTTGGTTTCAGAGATATAGTAATTTTTATGATTTTATTAATCTGGCCTCTAACTTTTCCTGCTCAGTTCTTTTTTTTTTCTGAGATATGTTGTTTCTCAATTTTTTTTTCAAATGCTTTTTCAGAAAAACTTAGATATAAAAACAACTAATATAAATTGAAATCTTTAACCCTATCGCGGTGTGCTGTCAGAACAATATAAGGTAGCAGGTCTGCCGTCTACCTTATCTGCTCAAATCATTTCGGTTTTCGAGATGACGCTTTTTGAAATAGAAACCCTTGATTGATGAGCCCAGTTTATCTTCACGGTTGCAATAAATATATGGCTGTTTTAGTACATGTTTTAGAAATCTTTTTTTTTCACCAATCTATTTGAGGCCTCGAAGGTGGAAGTCATGCGCTAGGTTTTTCGCGTATCATTTTTGCATGTTTAACAAAACAATTTTTTCACGAGCTATATCGAATGTATAAATTATTTTTTCAGTTTTAACTCACGTTTTAACTCAATTTTTTATTTTTAGAAAACTAAGAACTGAAAGCTTTTCAATCTGAAATTCGAAGTTCCCAAACCTGTAGTTGGAAGATGTCAGGGTACTCCCAGTAGTCAGGGTAATCCTTGTAGTTTTCGAGATATGACGTTTCTTTTTGATTTTTCAAAAAGTTTTCAGGAAACTTAAACGAAACTTTTTTCTTCAAAATCTGAAACTCCTAACCCTATAGGTGGGGTTGCCCTGTAGGTGGGGTTGCAGAGTACTCTCAGGGGTTGCAAACCTTTCCTCCTTTTTTGACTGCTCTTATCCTTGTAGTTTTCGAGACATGATGTTTTGTTTTTTTTTTTTCAATAAATTTTCAAAAAACTTGAATTAATTTTTTTTCGTCAATTTGAAATTCTCTACCCTCTAGTTGGGTGCTCCAAAAACGACTGCTCAAATTGTCGCAGTTTTCTAGATTTGACGTTGTTTATTGTTTTTTCAACAAACTTTTTCAAATAATAAAATTTTGAAGTTTCTCGAAAATCGCAACGCTGTAGAGTCCTGTTGACTACTGTGAGAGTAGTATCAGGGGTTGCAAATTTGACTGCTCAGTTTTTTGTAGTTATCCAAAAAACTGAAGTATAATTCTTGAATAATTTTGAATTCTTAACCTTGTAGTTAGGGGCCGTCAGAGTTGCGAATCTTGCCTCCAAGTTTGACTGCTGTAATCTGTGCGGTTTTCGGGATATGGCCTTTTTTATTTTGTTTCGAAAAAGTGAAATATATAATTCTCAATTAAAGTTGAATACTTAGCCTTGTTGTTGGGGGCTGTCAGAGTACTCTCAGGAGTTGAGAATCTTGCCTCCAAACACGACTGTTCAAATCTTCGCAGTTTTCCAGATATGACGTTGTTTATGTTTTTTCAATAAGTTTTTTCGAAAAATACAATTTTAAAGTTTCTCGAAATTCGCAACGCTGCCTGCAAATTTGACTGCTCGTGTTTTTGTAGTTATCCAGATATGACATTTTTTTGATTTTTCTATAGTTTTTCAGAACACTGAAATATAATTCTTTAATAATGTTGAATTCTTAACCTTGTTGTTGGGGGTTTTCAGAGTACTCTCAGGAGTTGAGAATCTTGCCTCCAAACACGACTGTTCAAATCTTCGCAGTTTTCCAGATATGACGTTGTTTATGTTTTTTCAATAAGTTTTTTCGAAAAATACAATTTTAAAGTTTCTCGAAATTCGCAACGCTGCCTGCAAATTTGACTGCTCGTGTTTTTGTAGTTATCCAGATATGACATTTTTTTGATTTTTCTATAGTTTTTCAGAACACTGAAATATAATTCTTTAATAATGTTGAATTCTTAACCTTGTTGTTGGGGGTTTTCAGAGTACTCTCAGGAGTTGAGAATCTTGCCTCCAAACACGACTGTTCAAATCTTCGCAGTTTTCCAGATATGACGTTGTTTATGTTTTTTCAATAAGTTTTTTCGAAAAATACAATTTTAAAGTTTCTCGAAATTCGCAACGCTGCCTGCAAATTTGACTGCTCGTGTTTTTGTAGTTATCCAGATATGACATTTCTTTGATTTTTCAATAGTTTTTCAGAACACTGAAATATAATTCTTTAATAATGTTGAATTCTTAACCTTGTTGTTGGGGGTTTTCAGAGTACTCTCAGGAGTTGAGAATCTTGCTTCCAAATACGACTGCTCAAATCGTTGCAGTTTTCTAGATATGACGTTGTTTATTGTTTTTTCAACAAACTTTCCAGATAATAAAGTTTTGAAGTTTCTCGAAAATCGCAACGCTTTAGAGTTCTGTTGACTACTGTGAGAGTAGTATCAGGGGTTGCAAATTTGACTGCTCGGTTTTTTGTAGTTATCCAAAAAACTGAAGTATAATTCTTTAATAATTTTGAATTCTTAACCTTGTAGTTAGGGGCCGTCAGAGTTGCGAATCTTGCCTCCAAGTTTGACTGCTGTAATCTGTGCGGTTTTCGGGATATGGCCTTTTTTATTTTGTTTCGAAAAAGTGAAATATATAATTCTCAATTAAAGTTGAATACTTAGCCTTGTTGTTGGGGGCTGTCAGAGTACTCTCAGGAGTTGAGAATCTTGACTCCAAACACGACTGTTCAAATCTTCGCAGTTTTCCAGATATGACGTTGTTTATGTTTTTTCAATAAGTTTTTTCGAAAAATACAATTTTAAAGTTTCTCGAAATTCGCAACGCTGCCTGCAAATTTGACTGCTCGTGTTTTTGTAGTTATCCAGATATGACATTTTTTTGATTTTTCAATAGTTTTTCAGAACACTGAAATATAATTCTTTAATAATGTTGAATTCTTAACCTTGTTGTTGGGGGTTTTCAGAGTACTCTCAGGAGTTGAGAATCTTGCCTCCAAACACGCCTGTTCAAATCTTCGCAGTTTTCCAGATATGACGTTGTTTATGTTTTTTCAATAAGTTTTTTCGAAAAATATAATTTTAAAGTTTCTCGAAATTCGCAACGCTGCCTGCAAATTTGACTGCTCGTGTTTTTGTAGTTATCCAGATATGACATTTCTTTGATTTTTCAATAGTTTTTCAGAATACTGAAATATAATTCTTTAATAATGTTGAATTCTTAACCTTGTTAGTGGGGGTTTTCAGAGTACTCTCAGGAGTTGAGAATCTTGCTTCCAAATACGACTGCTCAAATCGTCGCAGTTTTCTAGATATGACGTTGTTTATTGTTTTTTCAACAAACTTTCCAGATAATAAAGTTTTGAAGTTTCTCGAAAATCGCAACGCTTTAGAGTTCTGTTGACTACTGTGAGAGTAGTATCAGGGGTTGCAAATTTGACTGCTCGGTTTTTTGTAGTTATCCGAAAACTGAAGTAAAATTCTTTAATTGTTGAATTCTTAACCTTGTAGTTAGGGGCTGTAAGAGTTGCGAATCTTGCCTCCAAGTTCGACTGCTGAAATCTGTGCGGTTTTCGAGATATGGCGTTTTTTTATTTTGTTTCGAAAAACTGAATGTTTAATTTTTTTTTCAAAAGAAAAATTCCTGTCCCTGTAATAAGGGCGAGTTGCGATTCTTGCCTCAGATTATGACTGCTCAATGTTTTGCGGTTTTCGAGATAAAAGTTGTAGAAAATTGAAAATTGAAGTTTCTCAAAATTCCTAATATTCCTAACCCTGTAATTAGGGGATGCTAGAATACTCAGTTTTTGTGGTTTTCCAGAAATGACGATTTGGGTTCCTAGCCCTGTAGTTGGGGGTTGTCATAGTACTCAAGAGTTGCTAATCTTGCCTCGAAATATAAACTTGCCTCAAATATTCCAGATTTGATGTTTTTATGTGTTTTCAGAATTTTTTTTATAAAACTTAAATCTGAAGTTTCTGAAAATTTGAAATTCCCTAAGCTGTAGTTTGGTACTGTGGGTACTCTCAGGAGTTGCAAATCTTGCGCCCAAATGCGACTGCTCACTTGCTGTCATTTTCCGAGATCTGATTTTTTTTTCGTCATTCATTTAAAAATTTTCAAAGAATGCATATCTTGTTTCCAATATACGCGGTTTTTTATCAGTTGTCAAAACTTCGAAGCACCGGAGGTGCGTTACACGTTAGTTTTATTTAAATTCAACTGTTAGAAGTTAAACTAATTGCGCTCTCCAATTACGTGTGCGGAAATAGCGCAAAAAAAACGTGAACGACTTCTACTTTCGAAAGTGGATTTTAGCTCGAAGGTTACCCAGCGGAATAACAAATATACTCTTTCATTGAAAAGTTTTCTTAAATTGGGTTTTATCTAAAAACAGTCAGTCTTAATTTGTTATTGCAATTCAAAGAGCTTCAACCTGATGTACTTTTTCTCAGGTTTTCGAAAATTGTTCCAAAGTTTATTTGGTATTTTTAATTTTTTTTGATCTGTTCAAATCTTATTAAGTGTCAATGATTTTTAATAATCCACCGCCTCCAGAAGATCTTAGATCTGCGTCTGAGTAGCTCGACTGCATAAGTATTTCATACTTACCATTTGCATCTGCGTAGATATAAGGCAAAAATTTGAATTAAATGTAGATTAAATGTACCGCAACATCATTTAAACCTCATATATGTTTTCTTTGGTTGGATATTACCATACCTGACTCGTTTTGTCTTTGTGTTTCAAAAAGCGCCGCAATCATGGTGCGCGTTGTAGTTTAGAACCTCTGTAATATCAAGTGTTTTTTACGTGATTTCTTTTCAGGTGACGGTGGTGTGTTTTCATCCGTCCAAAGAAGGTTTGGTCGCATTCGGCACTGAAGATGGCAAAGTGGGGCTGTATGACGTCACAAACAACAGAGGGGCATCCACTTCCACTACATTCCACTCGTCAACTGTGTATGCCCTCTCCTTCGGGCCGGCGCCTGAAACTGTTACTGATGATACTGCGGACAGCAATGAAACAGAGCAATCGGAAGAAAAATCAACAGGAGTTAAGGTAAGCCATTCGCACATTAAAAGAGACAAGTATTTGAGATAAATGTTATTTGTCTGCTACGAAAACTTTGCCTGATAACTCTGTAGATAACTCAAATCTTCCTGAAATCTGAGTACTTGAGCAGTTAAACTTGGCTCTTTTTGCATGTACAACTCTTTTCTATCATTCGAATTGTTTTGAACAGTCAATTTTTGCTGCTTTCTTTGGGTTTTAATGAACTTGTTGACGGAACTAAGTTACTTATTTGTTCCCTCAATAAAATTGATATCGTCCCTAATGAAAATTGAAAATGGGGAGGAACTTTGTATTCGGGTGTTTTAGTTTTTTCTTTTCGGTTTGCACGCATAATCAGGTACCACAAATAATCATCGGAATGGGTCGAGTGCTATATTATATTGAAGCCCTTTCAGTCGTGATTCGAACTCTATCAAAAAACCTGTTTGAAGTTTTTGATTTGGTCTATTTTCTCGCTAATAAGGTGAGCGTGCAGGCTTACAGTAGCTTTTTTATGCTTAATTTGAGCCGTGAAAATTTAATGTAAATTAGTTTTTGGAGTTTTCAGTGCCATTTTGGGAATCAAAAACTACAAAAAAAATTTTGCAAAAACTTTACCATTTGGCCTATTTGTTATGTTTGTCGAATCTATTCATGTTTTATTTTTTCGTTATGATCTTTTTATCAAACCACACAGTAAAAACTACACTGGTTTCAGGGGCGTATTTAGAGGGAGGGGGGGGGCGGACGCCCCCTCCACTCGGATTCGACCCCCTGCCGACCCAAAGGGTCCCCCTTTGGTACTTTTTAAGAAATCCATTTTTGGCTGACCGACCCTAAAATTTTTCTAAAGGCACCTTGGGCGCCAATATATACTGTTTTTGAGGGGGAGCGCGCGCCAAAAAAAACTGATTTTTTTGTCAAATTTTTTCAAAAAGTGCCCAAAAACGGCATTTTTGACCTGTTTTTTTTTTTCAAAAATTTTCCTGCGGCGCAAAAAATTTGACGAAAACAGCATCTTTTTAGTGCTTTCGGAGAGCTCGGAAAATCAATTTGGTCGACCTAAAAAAAGGTCAAAATTGTCGAAAATTTTTGAAAATCAGCCTCCCCTCGAGAAAATCCTAGATCCGCGCCCCTGACTGATTTGAAAAAAAACTTTTTTAAGTCTATAATCGGATCTTTGTGCTACTTGCATGGTAACCGGCTATCCTTGTTTAACAAAGAACTGTGGGATGCAACGGAAGACAAAGTTTCTAATGAATGAGGCTAGATATTTGACAACAGTTCCATCAGATCAATCTTTTAGTGGACTCAAAGCAATTATCAAGACAGAAAGCTCAGATGCGCTTGCATAATGTCTCCTCGGTTCTGGGAAGGTTGTAACTTGTATCAGACCTACTTATTTTGAGTACAATACCCTGAATTTACATGTTTTTTTATACTTTTGCTGATTCTTTGAGTCATGCTTGAATAAATACTCTTATAAAGGTCTTGATGATTTTTCGTTTTTTTTTCAGAAAAAAGTCTTTAAATTTTGTTCAGGCTCAACTTTGATTTTTCGTGGTTTGAGTTTTGATTTTTTTCCGTATTACTATTTCCTTTCCTGTTAAAAGGAAGAAACTCCACTATCGAACAGCAAAAGTGTTAAAGGTCACAAAAAACGATTAACTTCTAGTTTCGAAAGTTTATTTTAATTTGAAGATTCCCAGATAAATTGATCCAGTTTTTTCAAGTGGCTTAACTTTATCATAAAAGTAAAAAATTTGAAGTTTGAAAGTTCAAATTTTTTTGCTCACTGCTCATTGTCTCTTTTCCAACTGTCTGTTGACTATGTTTTAGATTTTTGATTTTTCATTTCTGAATGGCTGATATTCTTTTTTTCATCACTAGGGGCCTCCAGTGGAAGAGGCCCTCCCCCTTCTCTCTGGGGCTCAAGTTTAACTCTAACTGGATGGCTAAGTATTTTGGTGCGTAATCGTACCCAAAATGAAAAATCAGTCCTCTACTCTTATTACCAAAATAAAAGTCGCGTATCCCAAATCTTTTTAATTGGTCAAAGACTACTTTAGCCGGCTCTCGGTTAAAATCTCGCCGGTTTAAGCATCGCTATGATAATCTGCTCTATGATTGTGTTGCGTCTCGTCCTGGTAATAAATATTTGATTCTTCTGTTCGTTGGCCCAGCTTTCAACCAAACATAATTCAAGATTAAGTTTTTATTTTGGGTCCTCGGAACGTTGGGATCTACAGATATTCACCAGTAATACTCATTTTCATTGACGATCTTCTTGATTTACCGGATTCATGTAGCTGCTATTGTCATGCCGATGAAACTAAATTTATGGTGTATTAAAGTGTATTAAAGTTATGGGCGTTTGATAATCAACTGAGTTTTGTTTCCTTCATCAAAGACATGTTTCCTTCCTTTGAATGCTACTAAAGACCTGAAGTTGTTTGTCAGATGCAGTGTGATATAGTTGAAAAGGACTGTGACTGATCTTGGACTCGAAGTGCACACAAACTTGAAGCGAGATGAACACATTGCTAAAAAAAAGCTTTTAAAAGCTAGACGAATTTTCAATTATCTGCGAGATAGCATCTCAAAAAATGTCCCTTCTGGAGTAAAGTTTAATCTGTTCAAAACTTGTGTTTTTCTATAGTTTTATATGGGCATCCAGCTTGGTTTAAAACAGCTTAATACGGTTATCCAGTTTGGTTTAAAAAATAGCTTAATTTCAGGGACATAGGTGGTCATATGGCTGGTTACCTTTTTGTACTCTCTTTCAATATTCGATTTCCTTGCGAATTCCTTACCAGCTCATCAAAATAGATATCCGTTTTCTTGAGACCATCATGTTAGACCTCAACTGCATTCATTTTGATGATTATTTCTGACTTAAAACATCGGAGGAGCCTTCGGAGCACCCAGATTTTTCGATCGAAGCAGCGGTTTGTGCACAAGCAGTTGACAACAAATTCGTCTTTTTCTTCAGAGTTATTGATTGTGTCAACGATTTTGTTTAACTATTCAGCATCATACCAATAGACCCGCCATCAAACTTGAAGCGTTTAATACGAACCTCGCTTCAGAAGCTCTGCAGAACCGTATACAACCTGCACAGAATTTTTACCTGGTACTTGAAGTGGCGATGCTGCTCATGTGTTTGCTGAACCAATTTGTAATTTGAGTAATTGAAGTCATTTACTACTACTACTACAACTAAATTCTGTGTTCATTGTTGATACAAGTTGCGCTCCCTTTTTCACGTAAACTTTTCAGTTGTTTGTATAATTATTATTTTTGAATCGGTAAAATTGCTCTGACTTTTGATTAAACTTGCCAAAGCCAGTGTGTTGTAATCGGGAACTACGTTTTTTCCCCGTAAACAACTTATCTTTCAAATCTATTAGCTTTTCTGACTTGTTTTATTATTGAATCTTAACATCATGCTGCTGGTTCTCCGTTGGCCTTGAGGTAACGAGGTTGCCTTTGAACCCTAGTGTCTGGGGTTGCGTCCCAGCTGGACCTTGTTTTTGTAGTGTGTATGAAATTAAAAACTTTTCCGGAATAAAATGAAAAGTCGGACTTCTGTTTGTCGGCTCAAATTTTAATTTTGTGGTCTTAGTTACCACATCACGGATTTTTTTCGCTGTAACAAATTTTCAATATAATTGGATGTGTTGTTTATTATAGTTTCAAGGGGACTTCAAACTTATTTACAAATCTTTTTTTTCCGGCTCAACTGATGTCTGTTCGAAGATTATCGGCTTCGTTTCGGTTCCGTAAGTTTTATTCCGTCGCTAATTTAATATTCGATTAATTTGCTTGGCATGTTTGCCTAAAATGAATTTTTATCGAGGCATACTAAATAGACATACTTTAGTAGACATAGTTTTTTTATTTGACTAGATTTTGTTCCACTTATTTTAATCCATGTTGTGTTTAATCTATGTAGTGTGTTGTATCGCAAGTGATGCGAAGCTCCGGCTCGCCTGTGTCAAAAAGTTGAAGTAAGATTTTGGAAATAAAATTAATTCCTCGTATAGTTGAAATTAGAAATTCCGTTTGAAGAATAGATCAAGCTTTTTAGTGGGAGACGAATATTTTGGTATTGAACGGTTATTTTAGACTAATAAGAAGTACGTCGACTTGTACAGCTGTGCGAGTGATGGTAAAGTCTTCATTCACAACCCCTCAGCACTCAATGAAGCTGCCAGAAATCTGAACTCTATTTTGGAAACAAAACACGGCAAAGCATTTGACGAGCAGAGAAGCGCAATCAGCTGGAGCCACGATAACTTACATTTGGCAGTCGGAAATAACAATGGAACAGTGGAAATATTGGATTCAAATCTAAATTATGTTGCTATAATAGAGCTACATACAAGTGCAATATATCATTTAGCATGGCAGTATCCTGATGTCAATGATGCGCAAGAAAGCTCCGTTTGGTTAGCCGTCAGTTCAAAAAACGACATGAAAATCAACGTTGTCGATATTTCGAGTATCTTGAGGCAAAAGCAAGATAAAAATGCAGAAACTGGCAATGAAGCTCCAGTTATTTCGAATGTTTTTTGTCAGTTGTTCGGTCACAAGAAGAAAATTGGCAAGATTCAATGGTCGCCTCACGAGAGACAAACACTTCTCTCAACTTCAAACGATGGGAGCGTGCAAATGTGGAAAATTTCACCGTCGGGTAACTTGATATACTTTTCTAAATAATTAAGCTGAATAGGGCAGTATTGTTGACATTTTTCTCGGCCAGTCTGTAGGATGTGGTTTGCGAAGATGCTATTTCAAATAAGATACCCGATATGTGAGTTTTTGTTTGGAACGAAATTACTTTTAAATCATACATAAAATTGCAAAAATGAATACGCCTGCTTAGGTCAATATGAGTGTGCTGGAAACTATCTCCAGAATGCAGATGCATCTGCAACATGTGCCAAGTTCTCCTTGTCTGATTCGGACTTAATTTACTCTGGAGGAACTGACTTCATTATGCATTGTTGGCGTCCTTCAAAACAAGAAAGAAAAGCCCCAGAAGTTTTCAAGAGTAACGTTTTAATAGATATTGAAAATGCTGGCCTTGTAGAGAATCGTTCGGAAGTAATGCCTGATATGAATGGGAATCATATCGCAAATGATGCTGATAACGAGCAAAGTTCGCTCAATGAAGCGAAGACACAGAAAGAGTCATCGGGTTTTGAAAATATCAGAGGCACCGCTATCACTCCGAAAGCAGACGAAGGTGCAGGTGATTCGAAAGTTAGTCTCGCGCGACGACCGAAGCTGAAAACTTTTCTGAAACAATTAGGAAATAGTCCGAAAGTCTTTCAGGCCATTCAAGAAACAAGAAAAGTGTTCGAATCCAAAGAAAAGGCGAAGAATGTAACGGAAAATCCTGACAATGTTGGTGTTGAAAACTACGATGGTGATAGCGAAGATTCTTTTCACGGAATGTTCTGTGGGGCTAGTGGTGCTGTAGGTTTGTTGAAAAGTGAGGCTAAATTATGCGAGGAAGCGAGCGATTTTGAAGGGCAATCTGATGTGCTGCTTTTACAAGGCAGTGTAGAACAGGCTATCGATGTGGCAATCGCAAAAGGTACTTGCATGTATTTTTTACTCAAGCGAGCTTGCGAGTGTTATAAGGTCAATTCACTTTTTTCAAGCAAAGTCCCACCTTCTAGAGGGAATTTTATGCCTTAATTGGCCAGCATTTGATCTAACTGTACTTTTAATTAAAGTCTAATCTTTGTTACCTATGGGTGAAAATTGAGGAAATGGCGGTTTCATGGTCAAGTGGTTATGACCAGGGTTACCAACTGGTCTTTTTTTATAGTTACCGGTCACTACTGGTCTCTAAAACTCTACTTTTTTTACTGGTCGCTTTTTTAATGGTATCACCCTTTGGTACTATTTTGACATTTATTCTCGGCCAACTGATCCTAAAATTTCTTTTTAAGGCGCATTTGGCGCAAATATACTTTTATTTTGGTCAAAACCTTCCAAATTTGACATTTGTGCCTGTTTTTTTTTCGAAAATCTGCCTGCTGCGCAGAAGATTTAGTCAAAAAAGTGTCTCTTAAAATGTGGAGGCACTTTATATTCGGGTGTGTTTTAGTTTATTTTGTTTTACACGCAAAATCAGGTGACGCAAATAATCATCGGATTAGGTCAAGATATCGGAATATCATATTGAAGCCTTTCAGTTGTGATTCGAACGACATTAAAAAGTATTCTCAGTGTCGGGAAAAATCAGTTAAAATATTTTGATTTTTGGTGTAATTTCTAGCTAATAAAGTGAAGCTAAGCAGTCGTACAAAAGCTTATTTAAGCTTAATTTAAGCTTTGAAAACTTAGTTTTACTCGAGAAACGTAGTTTTTTAGTGCCATTTTGTGAATCAAAAACTTAAAAACTCAAACAATTTCTGCAAAAAAAATTCGTTTTTCTAGGCCTTTTGCTACAAAAACTGTTTTCCAATTGGCTTAGTTATTTCAAACTTGCGAATATGTCTAAGTTCTATTTTTCGTTTAGAGTCGTTTCTCAGACCGCGCAGAATAAACGACACTAATTTGAAAATTTGTTTTTAAGACTATGGTCGGAACATTCTGTGTTACTTGCACAGTAACTGGCTATACTTGTTGTCACTTGTTTTTGTCACTTGTTTTTTGTCCATTGTGAGCTTTTCCCATTATATTTTGACAAATTCGCTACTTTTTTGTCGACCAGTTGGTTACCCTGGTTGTGACATGTGACTTTACTCGGAGGCACCGGAATCAATCAAAGTTGGTAACCATGGTTATGACACGTGGCTTTGCTCCGGAGGCACTGGGATCAATCAAATGCGCGGAAACATGAATATCATTACGCTTGTGATAAGCAAGCGTTATCAAACTGGAAGATAGACTTTTTCGGGTTAACAACTATTTTAACAAGCTGTTGAATCACCTGATCTTCACACCTTCTCTGAATATGTTCCAGGTTGCTTCCCTCTTGGCCTGGAGATAAAACAGTCGCCTTTGTATCTTAAGATCTGGGGTTCGAGTCGTGGCCGGATCTTGTTTTTTTTTTCAGTATCAAGGGATTGGAAAAAAAAATTTCTAAAAAAAGATCTGTTGGTTTTTTGTTTGTTCGCTCAGGTTTTGTGGGCTAAATTGCCATAACGGATTTTGGTTTGCTGTAGAAAATTTTCCTTGTAGTTGCAGGTGCAAATGTTTTTCATATTCTAGTTTCAAGGGGGGACTTGAAAGATTTTTTTTTAAATTCATAAAAACTTTCTGTTCGGCTCAGTTAGTGTCTTCTCAAAGATGGTCGGCTTAGTTGCTACATCACTGATTGTCGGCTTTGTTTCTTTTCGTAAATTTTGTTCCGTTGTTGCTGATTAATAGTTCAAGTGTGCGGCATGTTTTCTGGAATTAACTTCTATCGAGACGTATGAAAGTTAATATGACCTATTATTTTTTTTTTTCATTTTTGGCTCGATGTTTTTTTTTATGTTAGTGTTGTATCGCAAGTGGCGCGAAGCTCTGCTTCGCGTCTGCGTTAGTTGTTTGAATTAAAAAGGAGAAGCAGTTGCTGAGCAAGTAGTACGCAATCTTCGGAACACCTTGCTGAAAGAAAATCAAATGTTCTCGAAACTTCCTGTCATTTTTGTAAGATACTGATTTAATTTTTTTTTAAAAATGCGCAGATAAGAGCTAATAACCGCTAGATTAACTGAAAAATGGCAGTAGTCATTTTGTAAGGTTGGTTGGTAGGCTCGATAACATAATGAACTTTGTATTCGCGTGTTATAGTTTTTTTTTTGTTCATGCAAAATCAGGTACCAGAAATAATCATTGGAATGGGTCGAGTGATATATCATTTTAAAGCCCTTTCATTCGTGATTTAAACGATAATAAAAGAATTACAAAAATTTGTCCCATTGTTGAGAAAAATCTGTTTAAAATGTATGAGTTTTAGTCCAATTTCGAGCGAGTACAGCTTTCGAGTAACGTTCGTTATATTTAAATATTGGCCATTTAGGCTAAAAAATGGTTTTTTAACAAGAAAATCAATTTTGGAAGCTTCATGAAGCGCTTTCTTGTTCCTAAAAGTTTTCTTACAATTTTTAATGTTTTGTTTTGACCTTTATTTTGTTTTCGTTTATTATAGGTCTTGCTGATTTTTTAAATTTTTTTTCAGGAAAATTCTAAAATTTTGATGCACTTAGGTATAATGCACTTTTTGAGTTCAGTTGAAAATCATCTGCTCAACGTGACGTAAATAGCACTCTTCCAATACGAACGTGGAAATGGCGCAAAAAATGTGAATGATTTCTAGTTTCGAAAGTGGAATTTATTTTTACGGTTTCCCAGCGGAATAAAAACTACCTTTTGATCCAATTTTCTTAAGTTGGGTTTATGTTATCAAAAAAGCGCCAATCATAAATTGTTCTAGAAATTCAAAGAGCAGAAAGAGTATCAATTTTTTTCTTTGAAAATCGAAAGTTGAGATTTTTTCAAGAAAGTCAGTGTTTTTTATGTTTACTTGCGTTCATTAATTGTTTCCGATCTTCGATTGGCTCTGTTTGATTTTTTGATGACAATTTTAGTTTTTTGTGCCTAATTCACTAAGTTTTTCTGCGTTTGTGTAGCTCTATAATCATACCACTCATTTTTTTGTACCTTTTTTACGAATGTGATCGGAACACTGTGCTAATTGCTAAGCAACTGGCTATCCTTGTTGTCATTTGTCCTGGTTCACCCTTTTCTAAAGTTTAGCCCCATTTTCGGGTTTTATCATTTTTTGTATCAATGTTCCAGGTTCATTAAGTGAAAAGCACATTGCGGCTTCGTTCATGGGTGGTTTCAAGTTGTGGCGCAAATGTGTGGAGGCATTGCTTGATCAGAGCAGAAAAAACGGAAACGTGAATGACGCATGTCAGTACCTGTTAATGTTGAACCGAGTACACCAAGCGATCAAGCTGATGGCAGATAACGGAAAGTGAGTTATGGAAATAAATTTACACCAGCAAATGAATTTTAAATACTTTTTTTTGTGGGTGAAAAGCTTTGCAATCAATTTTTTTATGCACATGAAACTGAGCTCAGCACATCTTAAATTCAAAAATAAGTCAACACACGATCTGAGGCAATTTTTTAATTTTAAAGTGAAAGCGTTATGTTTTGTTAAGATTGAAAGACGCAGTCGTGATAGGAACATTTCGACTACCAGCTGGCGATCCTTATTTGAGGAAACTTCACGAGGAATTAGCGACTAACTCAGAAAAGAGTCAGAACTTTGAAACAGCTGCTCAGGTGAAATATTACACTTAAATATTACAAAGTCTCCATCTGATATCATTGCAATAGTTTTACAAAGTCGGTAACCTTATCAAATTATTATGGCCCTTGCAACGAAAAAAGTATCAACTAATGATATCATAGTACTCGGTCGACAAATTATTCAAGAGGATATGTCTTCTGGGATATAAAGAAGTTAAAGGTTTCCATGAATGAAGAAAAACTCAAATATCGGTCGTGATAATTTTTTTGTTTGTTTTTCAGGAAGTCTTAAAATTTGTTCACGCTCAAGTTTGATTTTTGGCAGTTTGATTTTGAGCTTTTTTCAAGTTTTCTAAATTTCTTTTGTTAAAAGGAAGGCGAGCTTAACTATCGATTACCAAAAATGTAAGGGTCAAGAGAAACGTGATCGACTTCTACTTTCGAAACTGGGTTTTTTTTCAGATTTTCCAGCAGAAAAAAAATTTAACTATCCGTCTAGTTTTCTCAAATTGGGTCAATTTTTTATATAAAAAAGTCAATCATAAATTTTTCTAGGTGTTCAAAGAACTTAAAGGATATATAAAGAGATATAATATAATCTACTATATATTTTTTTCCTTTTCTCAATATGTTTTTATTGTCAATTTTACAGCCCTGTTTGCTGCCCACTCCATGAAGTCGTCGTAACAATGATTGTTCCGACTTTCGATACGAAAGTAACGGAATATTTGTGCTCGGGTGGGTTTTTTTTCTTCAGACAAATTTCGACTTTTTAACTAGCCATTTTGACAGAATTTTAAATGTCATTCATAAGTTATTGATGTCTTGAGCTTAAATTTTGAAAGATGTTATAACTGTGATCATTTTTCGTTAAGTTAAGGGGGTTTAAAAATGGCTAATTTGGCACAATTAACGCGCGATATATTTCGCGCTATTAACGCGTAAACGAAGATTTAGTCCGTCATAGAAATTGTTCCAAATTGGTTGAAGGAAGCTTATTTGCCATAACTGATCTGTTACTAGGAGCCAAATTTATCACTGTGTTCTTAATATGGCGCGTGGGGTGATGATTTTCACAAAAAATCTCAAATTAAAAAAATTCATTTTATTGTTGTTACACATAATTTTTTCATTTTATTACTGCTCCATAGATTGCTCGATAAATTGAGTCGTGTTAGTTGGTGAATTTCTTTTTTTTTCAAATTGACTGGTACTGCTAATGAGTCATAATTGGCGTTCGTCATTTAAGAAATTTTGTTGACCCAAAGTTTTACCAATCAGTTTTTCACAGAAGCGTTATCGGTCACATTTTTTCTTGTGTATGCGAAGTGCAACTTCGCCTCTGTGTAAAAACTTAGTAATCCAAAAATTTTTCTTGTTTGATTTGTTTTAAGGCAATGAACGAGCTGTTTTCTTTCAGATGATTGGTTATAAAGCAGTCAGGTTGTTAATGCTCTTTTTTATCTTCTGACCTTTAATTTTGTTTTTAATTCACTTCAAAGTGAAAAGTTTTTAAAAAAGAGCTTATCCCAAAAGGATAAAAAATTATCTACCGATCCGTTTTTCTCAAATTGATTAGTTTTATCAAAATAATTTGAATCATAAAAAGAGCTTTCAGGTGGATCAAACGAGTTTAAGTTTGGCGAAATAACTAAAAAGGAAGCGCACAAGAACTATGGAGTTAGGTGTGCTTTTAACCGACGTATTTTTAAAAGTAATGAACGTAGTGAGTACTCCTATATAGGTCTTGCTGATTTTTGTTTTTTTTAGGAAAAATTTGTTTACGCTCAATTTTGATTTTTCGCTGTTTGACTGGTGATTTCTTTTTAAGTTCAGTGCAGTTCTATTGTTAAAAGGAAGGCAAACTCCACTATCGAACAGCAAAAAAGTAAAGGTTACGAAAAACGTCATCGTTTTCTAATTTCGAAAACGGAAATTAATTATCAGGTTGCCCAGCGAAATAAAAATTTCACCTATTGATCCAGTTTTCTCCAATTGTGTTTTTAACAAAAAATTGTCCATCATATATGGTTCTACAAATTCAAAGAGCTTTAAGGCCCTCTTTTTTTCTTCGGATTTCAAATGTTGAAGATTTTGAAAAAACAAGTCGTTTTTTTCAGTGTCCTTGAGTTCATTGCTCGTTTTTAACTGTCAGTTGGCTATGTTTGACTTACTCCTAGATTTTGTAATTTATTTACCTCGACTTCATATTTCCTTCTTGGTTTTTGTATCGCTTAAGAAAATTCCTCGGCCCAAATTTATTTCGGCCAATTTTTGTGGGCTTAATGAACTAATTTTGGGTCGTATCAAGGGAAATACATTTTTAACGTTCCCCTGCGCGCTCTTCAAATTGGTTGTATGTTAAACAATCGGTTTGAAATTTCCCTTTTTTTCCGTTATGGAAATTTTTTTCCAAGTTCATAGGAAAAGTCTTTGTTTTTATCAGGAACTTCAGAAAAGGGGTATCAATCAATAGACCGCCTTCTCACCTGTGAGCCAACCTTTTCCCCCAGAGTCTCTTTTTACTTGACCTTTCTGTCTACAGCTTTCGAAAAAGTCTTGGGGAATATTAGACCCATACTTTTGTGGGGAAATATTTGACCAATATTTTTGACTTTTTTTGCTTTCTCTAACACTACACCTCACAAAGCTTTTAGTTTAATTGTTTTGAAAAGCTCCCTGCATATGCGGCTACGCCCAATTTTTTTACACAAAGTTATGGACCTCGAATAGTCAAATTTTTGATTATTGGCAGTTTCTTGAACCTTTTGACTTTTCTCGAAAACTAACCTGTCAAGTGTGATATAATGGGTTCAATGGAATTAGCGGGCAGTGGGACGCTCTTCTGCATTAGCGTCGCCTCACAAAGTTTTTTACACAAAAAGTTATCGCCCTCGGAAAAGTCAAATTTTGTTGACAGTTTTTAAAACTTTCTAAATAATCTCGAAAACTACCCTGCCATTTGAGATTTTCAGTTTAGTTCAAAAATCAGGTTAAGGCAAGCTCATTTGCTTGTGCGAATACGCCCAAATTTTTCTGACACCAGAAGTTATGGCCTCCGGAAATTTTGATTTTTTTCTTGAATTTTTCTCGAGCATTACGCTCCCAAATCTGATATTTTGGATTTAATCGAAATTACAAGTTGCGTGGATTCCTTCTCTAAGAGCGGCTACGCGCTATTTTGTCACACAAAAAGCTATGATTCGCAGAAATGTCAAATATTTGATTTTTTGACCGTTTTTTGGACTTTTCTCGCTAACGATCCTGCCAAATCTGATATCATAGTTTTAATCGACACTAAAGCTTGTTGAAAACCTACGGTTATAATTTTCTTTGCCCAGTTTAATTGAGAAAAAACTTTTCGCCTCCTAACAAATCAAAGTTTTGAAACTTAAACAGTTTTTTGTTAGTGACTTTATGCGAAAACGTGTTCAATCGAGAAAACAGTTTTTGTGAGTCTTATCTGCTTAAGCGCCTAAAACCTGCTTGTTGCAGAAAAAACCTATGGCTTTTAAAAGGTCTATTGACCGTTTTTAGAACTTTTGACCGTTGTTCAGAAATTTTTCAATTTTTTCTAAAATTTACACTCAACTCTAAGATGAAAAGTTCAATTCCAAAAAACTGGTTATGATAATTGTTCCTGCAGAAGCGGCGACTCCTTCATTTTTTGTAGAAGAAATGTTATATCATTGGGAAAGTTGGTTATTTCTAAATTTTATACTCTTCTAACTTATTTAAAAAAGCGATGCGAAGTGTATTATTACGAACTCTCTTTTTTTCCAAGCTAAGTCGCAAATAAAAACGCTCATACTTGAATTTCATCATATTTAAGCGTATTTAAGCATAGGTAATTTAATAGCATATATAGTGCTGGTTTTTTTTTGGCTAGTGTTAGGTCCTGTTTGAAAACAACAGTTGTTATGAAAATGTATGGGATTTGTTACTTTTTGTTTTTTTTTGCGACCCTTTGGTAAATTTTTGAAGATTTCGCAAAAATTGCCTTTTTCCTCAAAAACTACTGATCCAATTTTCAAAACAATGGTGTCCTTGTAAAAACTGGCTGCTATTCTATGTGCCTGCATATTTTGCTAGTCTCTTTTCAGTTTACAGCACGTTCGAAAGTTTCAGTAGGAGATTTTTGACATCTGAGATGAACGTTTAAACTAAAGAACTAATCATTGGGATCTTTCCCTCTCAAGTGGCTTTTCTCAAAAACTACCCTGCTAAATCAGAGATTAAGAGTTCAGCCGGAAGAAGAAACGTGGTATGCGAATCTTCCCTGCGCAAGCGGCTATGCCCTTTTTTTGAAAAAGTATGGCCAAAAACTAACCTGCTGATTCTGAGGTTGATAATTCAATTAAACTAACATCGTGGTTAGATTTTTTGTGTGTAATCTGTTTCGCCTTATTTATTTTGCAAAAAAGCTGATATGGACATCGGAAAATCCATTTTTGAAGTTAACCGTTTTTCTTTAAAGAAATTTTATCACTGTTCTCGAAAGCTACTAGCTGAAGCCGAGATTAAGGTTTCAGTCTAAAAATCAGGCGGTGGAAATCTTCCCTGCATACGAGACTATTCCCACCTTTTAATAGTGAAAATTTTGTGAATTTAGGAAAATCCAACTTTTTCAATTTTTGATCGTTTTTTGGAACCTTTTTCAATTTTTTTTCGAAAACTACCTAATCAAATCTTAGATAAAGAATTCAGTTGAAAGATCGATTAGTTGTTTTTTTTCTTTAAATATGCAGCTAATCCACTACTTATCAGAACAATCACTAAGGTTTTGCGTTAAGTCCATTTTTGAAACTTTCAAAATTACGCATTTCGGTATCAGTATAAAATATGATCAAAATATTAAAACATGTGAATCTAGCATAAGCTGGACAACCAGTTTTTCCTCCAAGCGTCCGTGGCGCGATTGCGAGGAAGTGGAAATCTTAATCAACCGGTACGAGATCCAAATCCGGAACATTGAAATAGTTAGTTTTTTTGGTCGAGTTTTTCCTGCATCGCATTGGCAGTTTGATAGAAACTGCAGCTGCTTTATTGGCGGCTAGTGTTAGTAAAATTACAAGCGGTCATGAAGCAGATGTGAGAATGTGTTACTCCCAAGCCTTGCAAAAATGTTTCTCAAGGTAACTTTTTAACCTTTTCCTTATTTCACTTTGTTTTGCCTGTTTAGAGGTCTTTTTTTTTTCATTTTCCTCGCTTGTGTTTGCAAAGCGCAGCTTCGCCTCTGTGTTTAGTAGAGAAACAACTCAGGTTTTGGGCAATGTCCAATTTTTGATATCACTTTTTTTGTGCCGCATCAGTATAGCAAATTCATTGAATATGAAGCACGTACCTCCAGCTTTAGCTGGGCCCCTAGTTGATATAATCGAGACTTACGAATGTTTTGGTTCGCTTAGTTTTTTCAAATTTAAAGTTTTTTTTCGACTAATGTTTTTTATGTTTGTGTTGCATCACTAGTGGTGCGAAGCTCCGCTTCGCCTCTGCGTAATAAAAGTACCAATTTTAAATGACCGGTTAAATTACCAAATTTTATACCACTTTTTAGTGCTACTTGACACTCGGAGATTACGAAAGAGCAGCCCGACTTCTGACTACGAGAAACCACGTTGAAGCCAATTTATTAGCCTTGGATATTACAATGGTCACTGAGAACGCATCAGCTGACAGGGTGGAATACCTTATGAACATATGCGTCGTGAAGCTGTTATTGGGCTTCGAGTTTAGCAGAGCTCAAGAGTTGATACAGAACGAAAAGTTGACTGCATTTCAATCGGCCGACATCTTGAAATTTTCCATTCAAGTAGTGAAATTGTTCACGGCGGAGGCTGAGAAGTGCATGAATATTCAGTTAATCGAGAATCGTAATACTGAATCTTCGAAAGTATTTGAAGTTCCCGCAAATAGTTCGGATGAAGTTGCTACAACAATTGAATCGAGGTTCGATCGATTTCTCTTGGAATTCTGTGGAAAATTGAAAAAAGCTGATTTAGAAAAAGAACCCGCAAGCAATGAATATAGCGATTGTGTCATTTATTTGGACAGAACATTGCCTCAACTTTTAAAGCTCAAATCGACTGCTGATATAATTCATGTCTCCAATATCAATGCGAAAATGTGCAAGTCATTTCTAGTGGCGGTTCTGGAAATAGTTTTGATCATTATTGAGACGAGAGCTCAAAACGAGGAAGCAGCTGATGTCTTGGTTTTCCCTATAATTGAGACTATTTTGAAAGAGAAATTCAGACCCTTGATTGGAGAACCAAATGCTGATAAATGATATTATTTACAGCTTCAACTGACTGAAAGTTAATTTATTCTTTGTTTTCTGCGAATGAATCAAATTTGATTTAGTTTCTTAAAGTTTAGTTTTGTTCTAGTTCGTTTTAAAAACAATTCCTACTTGGAGTTTCTCATATAGTCAAACTTGCTCCATATTGTCCACAGCTATTGCAGTTGCCCATGTTTGGTTCTCAATAATAAAATATTATAGTTATATGAAATAGGTTGACTAAAACACCAAAATTGGCGCAGAGACAGGTACTCGTTCAGAAGTATGTACCCGCCATTTTTGATGGGTTTCATTCATAAAACTTTTTTCGGAAGTGTGTTTGTTTCATCCAGCGCACTAAAAGCTCCTTGAAGTGTTTGAAAACAAGAGGAAATTTTGTAAATTTTTTCATTAACTAAGCTACTAAAGTTTTCAGCATAATGAAGTTATGAAGTGTCAATGAACAAATTGAAGACTTTTATTTACAATGTTTTCAATGTTTTTTTTTGGACAATTTTTCTGAAATTCAGAGAAAATTTTACATAGAATGGGAAAAAATGATCTGAGCTACCCTCTATGAAACTATCAATATATGGTTTTAATGACCAGTGTAATCCGGGTCTGAAATTGCCAGATTTCCTCATATGCCCTAAGTTTTGCATCGTAATGAATTTTTTCTTGAATAAGAGGAGTAAAAAAAGTTGTTAATGTGACGTAAAACATTCGCAGCCAAAAAATTGAAATAATCAGTGTGAAAACTTTACTAAACAGGGCTGTCTGCCGGCAACATTTCGAAAAATCTCAGTAACTGCTTTCAAAATTTTAGTTTTTCGTTTTTTATTGAGTTTAGGATATAACTATTAACACTTATCTATTTACGCTATTTTTTTTTTGCTTATAGGTATGACTCATACCTGAAATTGGGAGAAATTTTTATTGATCATCCTGTTAAACAAGGTTTCATCGAAAATACTTCGAAAGCAGTACCCAGAGACCCATTCTCTCAATACTGATTTTCCTGTTTCGTGATACTTTTTAATGACTGTCTACTCATCGCAAAAATCTGAAAATACGCACCAGCATAGTTGGCAGTTTCAGGAGTGATAAAGGACATACAATTTGTCATCTGTTAACATTGCCAACAGATAGTTGGAAAATTGTGAATGAACTTTAGAAAACCGGAAAAAAGATTAGTGTTAATTTGAAAGTTATATTAAAAAAATTACATCATTTTTACACAAGCAATGCTTGTGTTAAAGAATGAACTATCTTTTTTTTGCAACCTAAGTCGCAAATATTGTTGCGACGCAACTACTGCTGCGATAAAATGTGTTCAATAAATGTGTGACCAATAACCAGCTTTTAAGTACAGTCAATGCTAAAGATTTTAACACAGACTATTATTTTTCCGACTTTCGTAACGAAAGTAACTAACGGAATATTTGTGCTCGGGGTGGGTTTTTTTTTCTTCAGACAAATTTTGACTTTTAACTAGCCATTTTTGACAGAATTTTTAAATATCATTCAAAAGGTATTGTTGTGAGCTTAAATTTGGAAAGATGTTTCACGTTTGATCATTTTTCGTTAAGTTGTGGGGCTTTTAAAATGGCTATTTTGGCCAATTTGGGACAGTTAACTCGCGATATATTTTGCGCTATTAACGCGTAAGCGAAGATTTAATCCGTCATAGAAATTGTTCCAAATTGGTTGAAGGAAGCTTATTTGCCATAATTGATTTGTTATTAGGAGCGAAATTTATCACTTTTTTTCTTAATATGGCGTGTGGGGAATGATTTTTACAAAAAAATCTCAAATTAAAAAAAATTTCATTTCGTTTTTGTTACATAATTTTTTCATGTTATCACTGCTCCATAGACTGATCTATAAATTGTAGCATGTTAGTTGGTAAATTTCTTTTTTTTTCAAATTGACTGCTAATGCGTCATAATTGGCGTGCGTCACTTAGGACATTTTGTAGACTCAAAGTTTTACTCATTCAGTTTTTCACAGAAGCGTTATCGGTCATATTTTTGCTTGTGTATGCGAAGTGCAACTTCGCCTCTGTATAAAAAGTTTGAACTCCAAAATTTTTCTGGTTTGATTTGTTTTAAGGCAATAAACGATCTGTTTTTTAGATGATTGGTTAGAAAAAAGTCAGGTTGCTAATGGTTTTTTTCTTCTGACTTTTAATTTCCTTTTAAATTCACTTCAAATTAATTTATTTAGTGGAATGCAAAGTATCTTCCCCAACAACAAACCCCGCAAATGGCGAAAAAAAAATTAGATCAAAGTTTTTAAAAAAGAGCTTATCCTAGCAGACTAAAAAGTTATCTACCGATCCGTTTTTCTCAAATTGATTAGTTTTATCAAAATAATTTCAATCATAAAAAGAGTTTTCAGGTGGATCAAAAAATTTTGGCTAATTAATTAAAATTTGGCCAATTAATGAAAATTGGCGAATTAATTAAAAAGGAAGCGCAAAAGAACTATGGAGTTAGGTGTGGTTTCAATTGACGGAGTTTTAGAGTAATGAACGTAGTGAAGGCTCTTGTATAGGTCTTGCTGATTTTTTTTTTCAGGAAAAAGTCTTAAAATATTGATGCACTGAGGTATATAAGCCTTTTTTTGAGTTCAATTGAAATTTATCTGCTGAATGAGACGTAAATAGCACTCTCTAAATCTGAACGTGCAAATCGCGCAAAATTCGTAAACGATTTCTAGTTTCGAAAGTGGAATTTAATTTTAAGATTTCTAGCGGAATAATAACTTTACCTGGTGATCCAGTTTTCTCAAGTTGGGTTAATATTATCAAAAAAAGCGCCAATCTCAAATCGTTTAAGAAATTCAACGAGCTTAAAGGGCATCTATTTTTTTTCTTTGAAATTCGAGCTTTTTTCAAAAAAGTCAGTGTTTTTTTTGTGTTTACTTGAGTTCATTACTCTTTTCCAATCGTTGATTGGCTATGTTTACTAAAAAGAAATCTCCTTCGCATTGTGTAATCGATTGGTCAATTTGTTGATAATTCTCCTTTAGCCTAAGTTTTTGAACTTTTTATTGACATTCTATTAGGTAGTTTTTTTGACGGGTAAATTGGCTTAGTTTCGTTTTTTCGACCATAAACGATCTGTCGACTTGCATCAATTTGGACAATCAACGGATAGAAAATTAATTGATAACCATCTTAAATCGGAATAACAAAATCAAACACATTGGCAATCATAAAAGTGAGCAATTAATCAGCTCCGCCCTGTTATATTTCTTTTGATTATCCGAAGTTAAAAACTCGAATGCAACGAAGAAAGTTGAAAGTTATTAGAAGGAAGTTCCATCTAAACAAAAAATGTGGGCATTTGACGCGCCTTAAGTGCGATTTGTGTGCTAGTTATTTATAAATTACGTTTTGGCTTGACGAAATTCAAGTTTTCGTCGTAGAGAGAGGGCGGTAGATTTTTTGGACTTTTAAAATGAAATCAGCTTTGACTTCGACATTCTAAACTTGACTAGTTGAAATTGCTGTCGACGCTTTTTCAAAAAAGTTTTAACTGTTTCAGTTATTGCTATGTCCTTTACGAAGATAGTAGCGACAGTGAACAAAAAAGCGTTTGTGAAACCAGTTACGCCTCTCTTTTCGGCCAGTAGAGAGCAGGCGAGACTGAGGGCGTTGAGGTTGTACAAACAGTGGTACAGGGAGTGCTTCGACACAATCTATAAAAACGAGCTGCCTTTCACCACCAAAGAGGTAAAGTTGGTTATTTTTGGGAGTTTGAATGAAGAGGTCGACGTATAAACTAGCCCAAAATGTGCAGAGTATACAAGCCGGCTGAAAGTTGCGTCATTAGAATGAAACTTGCATGTCTTTCGTAACTGCTACATAATTATTGCATAACAATTATGTAACAGTGTGGTATTTGTGGCTTGTTTATGTGGTAGCTGGTTTATACTTCGACTGGTTCATATACCCTCATTTTTGGGCTTACTGTTTTTGCTCTTAAAGTTTTGATTGCCGGAGTGAATAATATTTTTTCATGGTTTTCCATATGCCGAGCTGTTTTGTTAAATCTGTCGTCTACTGTCACTCTGGCCATTGAATCTGCAGAATACAAAAAACAGTTGCTATCAAACTATCCAAAGTGTTTTGATTCAGCGCAAAGTTGGTGATAAGATTTTGTCGAAATATCAGCTTTCATTAGAATATTTTTGCGTATAATTACGATTGCGATGAGCAAGCGTAATCAAACTGGAATATAGATTTTTTCGGGTTAATAATTTGTTTAACAAAATCACTTGAGTCACTAGACTTAAGTCACGTGCATACGTGCAATTTTAAGTTAAACTAATGGTCTTCTGCTACTACTGACAGTTCTTTTAAGAAGTTTTGTCTTAAGTTTTGTACAGGACAAATTATTCCGTTTCAAAATAGTTACAGAAAAACATATGAAAGCTTGGCTTACATCAAAATCAGACTTTTTATAGCAGTTCAGGCGCACATTGTTTTTGAGAAAAATACTGCGCCTGAGGTGGTAAAGGTTGTGTTCGAATCTGACCAGAACTTTTTTTTCAAAAGGGAAATATTCCGTTTCAAAAAATTGTCGCCCTGTTGCGTGTCTAGTTATATTTGTTCGGCTTAGTAGCCTTGTTACGGATTTTTGCTCTGCTGTAAGTATGTTTTATTGTAACTGAAAGAGTTATGATTTATTACTGTAATTTTTTTCACTTATTAAGTTTTTATTTATTATTTTTTCGTTTTTTTTTGCTGCTTTGTTTTGCTTTATTTGTTTCGGCTTATTGTTTATCGAGTAAATGACCTAGTTAAGCGCGTTTTTAAAGGAAAAACAGATTTTTACGCTTTTGTGTTTCCGGAGGGGGTTCCTAAAAATTTAGATTTTCAGAAATTTCAAAAGTTTTTCAACTGAAAACGATTTCGCTCAACGGGAGTCTGATCATTTTTTGCCGGCATAGTTACCAATCAATTGCTATGTCTGAATACTTATTAAAAGCCATTTGTTGTGTTTTTTGACGTGTTTTTGTCTAATTGAACAAATTTCTGAAAATTTTATAGTAATGGTTTTTTCGAAATATTCTATTTTTTTTACTTGTGGCCTTTGTTTCGTTTTCTGTCTACTAGCTTGCAATGCTATGTATGTGTGGTATCGCAAGTGGTGCGAAGCTCTGCATCGCCTCTGTGTAAAAATTGAAAGTTGATGTTCACTTGATTCTTCAATTGTTGTTCCGATAATTTGAAAAATGGGGAGGAACTTTGTATTTGGGTGTTTTATCTTTTTTGTTTTCCACGCAAATCAGCTACCACAAATAATCATCGGAGAAAATTGAGTGATATATCATATTAAAGCCTTTACAGCCGTAATTTGAACAGAAAAATTTTTCAAGAAAATCCCAGTGTCGAGAAAAACCGGTTTGAAATTTTTGGGTCTTTCTTCTTAATTTCGAGCGAAAAAAGCGAGCGAGCAGGCTTACTATAGCTTATTTCAATGGCTTAATAATATACATTAGCCTAATTTAAAACGTAAAAACTTAGTTTTACTCGAACAGCGTTACTTTTGCGCCGTTTTGGAATAAAAAAATTCAAAATTTCAAAAACTTTTTAAAAAAATTTTACATTTTTTTTAGTTTTTCTTGTCATTTTTCTACAAAAATTGTTTTTCAATTCGCTTATTTAACTATGACTGTCGAAGATAGCTAATCTCTAATTTTTTGTGCAGCTCTTTTCATCGCACCACGCCGAACAAAACGACACTTATTTGAAAAAAAAGTTTAACACTATGGTCGGAACATTCTGCGCTACTTGCACAGTAACCGGCTAACCTTGTTTGAACTTTTTTGTGAACTGGCTTGATTTGATGTCGAATTTTAAGGAGATGTTTTGACTTTCATCATTTGACCAGGTAAGGAAAGTGTTGCGTCAGAAGTTTGAGGAGAACAAAAACGTGACTGACTTGAGACAGATAGACGCCATCATCTTCAAAGGAGAGTTGGAGTTAGAAGAGAGCCAGAAGGGCTGGATGCAGGGCACGCATATTTGTAGATACATGGAGATGACCAAAGCACAACAGCCCAAATCGAAAGATTTCTTGGACAAATTCTACTCCGGAGATATGAGTTGAAAACTGAAACTGAAGTGACAATATCTTACTTGTAATTTACTAGATTTATTTTTTATAAATACAGAAATAACAGAATCTTGTTTTGGAAGATAACAGTTTAGCCATTAATTATTCGAAAGGAAAATTGTTGAATCGATAGACATCTTGTCCAGCTGAAAAGCGTTTTGAAACAGTTTTGAAATTTCGCTGAAGTTTGTTTGCTGCTAATGGAAAACCTTTTGATTTGAATAAGCTAAGCTTTATGCACGAGGCTCGTTCTAAAACCGAAAGAACTAAGAAGACTGTTTTCATGTTTCTGTGATAACGTAAGCACGCGATTGTGTTAAAATACGCGTTCACTTTCTTGCAACCTAACTCGAGAAGTAAGTGCTCTACTATGTGCTAAATTTAGCATGTTTTCTTTGGAATTTTTAAGTAAGTCATATCCTTTTTTTTCATAGCGCCTGTCATTTACTATCGGATGATCTGTAAACTCTGTTTGTCAGTAAGATAGATGGCTGAGCACAGAGGATATAAGCCTCATCATGCGGAGATTTATTTGAATCCCGTAGTCGGCTAATTGTTGTCAGCGTAGTTTTGCTCCGATCGCTGAAAGTTATTCGGGTGATGTTAAACATTTCTTTCTACGCAAAATCAGAAACCACGAATAGCCATCAGATTGGGTCGAGTGTTATGAAGGTCATGGAACACTGGCTTAAAAATTTTTCGTTTAATTTCGACCGACGGAGTCAAGCGAGTACTTTTGTTATATAGAAATGAGTTTTTTTAAGGTATACAGGAAAACTATTAAAAACTCATGTAGCGCTTGTAAATCGAAAAGCATGTTTTCTTTTGTTTTTAGTTTTGGAAAGACAGTTAGTCAATTTAGGCCAATGGTAATATTGTTAGAAAGCATTTAAGTCCTCATCGCACCCAAAAACGGCCCGAGTTTAATTTCGTATAGTGGTTCTTGGTACATTCTGTACTGCTTATTTCAATTTTGTATTTAACTAATTGTTTGGTCGAGCGAATTTGCTGCTCGTTATCAGCCTAAAAATACTTCATCATGCGGAGATCTGCTATTCGAATCCCGTAGTCGGCTGACTGTCAAAGCACAAAATGGAGGCATTATTTTGCTGTTTGCATCATGACCTTTTATCGGCTCTAGAAGTGTTTTTTTTTTCAATTACAAATGACCAGGGGAGGAATTAGGGTTAAATATAGTAATTTTCAGAGGGGAGCCTTTTTTGACCTGTTTTTTCAAAATTTTGCCTGCTGCGCTTAAAGGTAGTGCTTTGGGAAAGTTCGAAAAATCAATTTAATCGGCCCAAAAAAGTCGCATAATTTTCGAACATTTTTTGAAATCCGCTACCCACCTCTAGGGAAAATTCTATATCCGTCCCTGCAGATGATTACAAGTTTTAGTTGAGAAGTTATCCATCAAAAAATTAAGGTGATTTTTGATGATTGTTTCTGGTTGAAATTATATCGACATCAATGCTCTCTGTTCTTATAAACCTGGAATCACGAAGTGAAAATACTTTTGTAGGTGAAAGCTTTTCTAGTTTCGAAAGTAAGATCTCAACTCTTAGATTCACTTGTATCACATGTATATGTGGAAATTTTAAGAATAACACGGTAAAAAACTGACAAAATTAAAGCCGACAGCCAATTAACTGAAACTCAGTCAAAAAAAATTGTCAGAGTAATCATATTGGAAAAAAATGCACATAACGCCCTCATATAATCTACGATAGCTATATAAGTAGCGCATGCAAAGTGGACTAAAGAAATTTGAAACCAAAACGACCGAGATTGAGCCGACAATCATAAAGCCAAAAAATCAGTAACTTAATATTGAAGTTTTATCTTTATTCAAAAAACGGTTTGAGGTTTAGATTGACATGTGCCGGCAGTAACTAGTATCCAGTAGTAAAATTTGAACTTGATAAAGTTGAGCATGTCAGCAGCATAGTAGCACCATAAAACTTTCAACTGATTTTGTTAATCCGAAAGTCTATATTCCGATTTTATAACGCTTGCTTATCGCAAGGGAAGTAAATGCCTCATCAAAATTATTGTCCATGAGTGGTGTTTGGTGATTGAAGATATGTTTAACTTATGCACAAAATTTCATTTCGAATGTTTTTTGCCAAATAACGTTATGTTGAGTTAATGAATAAAATAAATTACTTAATAATTGCACTATATTGAACGCCTCGTGCTCAACTGAAAGTTTTTATCCAAAATAAGCTCAACAGTGTCTAGCAGCATAGTTGTGGGGCTAACATCAATTACACTTGTTTCGAGGTTATAGAAAGCTAAAAAGTTGAAATAAAAAATTATATTTTTATTGTCCCAATAAGTTTTTTAGGTGAGCTCAAGTTTTGGAAAACAGTGAAGAGCGTGTTTCAAAAATAAATAGTATCCCATGAAATTTAAATGGAAGAAATAGAATTTTATTAAAAGATTTAGTGATCTTGTTGAACCAACATGTTTTATCAGAATTATCAAAAAAATTTTCCCGGTTTTGAGAAATTTTTCTTCAAGCAGTCAATTAACCTCCGTTTTGAAAACAAAACCAACAAAAAATTACAGATTTCGTTAAGACATCGTGTTTAATTTTTAAGAAAATTTAGTCGCTCAAAATCATGATAAATGATGAAAAAACCTATTAAAAAACTAATTTTCGAAAAAACTCCGAAGTAATAAACCTGTTCAACCAGAATCATAGTGTTAATTATTCTACCTGTTATACTAAGAAAAATTATCTCAAAAGTTTTGGAATACATGCATAACCTATAAAACTTCACTTGGCAATTATATCAATTACATATCCCTAAAAAGAATATCACGCATGTGGATTGCCCCTGTTTTCAACGAATTAAGACCCTCTCTTTTGCACTGAGCATCTGCTAGGAAGAATTATTGAAAACCAATTTTTTTTGCCGGAAACAGGGTCAAAAACAGAAATTAGTAACTCAATTCGATTGCTTTTTAAACTTTTTCAGTAGCGTTTAGGAACGGTTTATTTAAATAGTATATATAACTCTTTTGGGTTATCACACGAAACACAATTTTGATAATGTTCTAATTATATGACAATTGCTGTTTTTGACGTGAGACGCGATATTTGAAGTGAGAGAAAAATTCAGGATAAAATTGTTGTTTTCTTGACTTCAAAAGAGCGTTTGACACCATTATCGTCAAATTTGCGTTGAAATTAGCTTCTAACTAATAATTTGGTTCCGCTTTCACTTGGTCTGAGAGCTGTGTGAATAAGCGCAAACAGAATGTTGAATTATCAACCATCCTTCTTTATTGTTCCGACTTTCGATACGAAAGTAACGGAATATTTGTGCTCGGGTGGGTTTTTTTTCTTCAGACAAACTTCGACTTTAACTAGCCATTTTTGACGGCAGTTTTTTATATCATTCGAAAGGTATTGCTGTCTTGAGCTCAAATTTGAAAAGATATTTCATCTGTGATCTTTTTTCGTAAAGTTACGGACGTTTAATGATTGCCATTTTGGCCAATTTGGGACAATTAACGCGCGATATATTTCGCGCTATTAACGCGTAAGCGGAGAGTTAATCCGTCTTAGAAATTGTTCCAAACTGGTTAAAAGAAGCTTATTTGCCATAATTGGTTTGTTACAAGGAGCGAAATCTATCCTTTTGTGTTTTATATGGCGTGTGGGGGGATGATTTTCATTAAAAAAATTTAAATTTTAGAAAAAAATTTTGTTTCATTTTGTTTTATTTCATTGAACTTTTTAATGTTATTACTGCTCCATAAACATTAAAAGGCAATCGCAACATTCAGGGCTTCGCCCTGATACGAGCAGTCTTGTTAAAAATTACTTGCGGCATACCACAAAGTTCGATATCAGTTCCGCCATTACACAAAAAAAGTATTAACGAAATGCCTTCTTTGGGTAACAGCTTACAAGTTTTTTTTTGAAGACAATACAATCATCAACTCCATTGGCTACAGCATATTGACAACTTAAGCGGGAGCCCAACTCCAAAAATTGGAAAAATATAAAGACTTATAGACGTTATTTTTAACACTTACTCAATAAAAATTTAAAATGTCACACCAATTGATCAAGTTGAGAGAACAATGACTAAAAACATGACTTTGTAAGAACAGAGGTTGCTCGGAAGATATTCTTACTCGCCGTAAAATACGCTCATATTTGTGAAAATCATCATATGCGCTTTTGAAATTTGTGCTAAAAATTCCTCAACATTTTTGCCTCCGCGTGCTCTCAATGATTTGTTAGATTTTCATAACAACCAATTACAATCCGTAGAACCTTGGCACAGTTCTTAGAGCAACCTCCAAGCCACAAAAAGATAGAAAAAATTTCCATCCATGACAGGGCTATGATGATTCACAAAGATCTATCGACAAGGTCTGCTATTCCAAAAATTTTAAACGTTTAAGTATACGATATTATAAACAAGCCAATGTTTTTTGAGATAATTGTTTGAAAAATAACGACTTGATCGTGTGATCTTCTAAGGATTTCAGAGGTTAGAATAACAAGACTGCTCGTATCAGGGCAAAGCCCTGAATGTTCCGACTGCCTTTGAAGGTTTATGGAGCAGTAATAAAATAAAAAATTAAAGGAAATTTAAGAAAATGAAAAACCATCCCCCCACACGCCAAATAAAGTACAAAAAGATAGATTTCGTTTCTTGTAACAAATCAATTATGGCAAATAAGCTTCGTTCAACCAATTTTGAACGATTTATAAGACGGATTAAATCTCGCTTACGCGTTCATAGCGCGAATTATATTGCGCGTTAATTGTCCCAAATTGGCCAAAATGGCAATCTTTAAACCGCCGTAACTTTACGAAAAATGATCACAGGTGAAATATTTTTTTAAATTTGAGCTCAGGACAACAATACCTTTCGAATGATGTAAAAAAAATCCGTCAAAAAAGGCTAGTTAAAAAGTCGAAATTTGTCTGAAAAAAAACCCACCCCGAGCACAAATAATCCGTTACTTTCGTATCGAAAGTCTGAGCAATAACCGGTTGCTGTGCAAGATGATTCTTTTGAAATTTATTTAATCGGGCTCGAATTGCTTGAATTAGGCTTAAATGACTCAATCTTTGAAGAGGCTTCTGGCTGCTACTTAGGCTAAAAAATAGGCTAAAAATTTACTTGTTTTTGTGGTTCCCAAACTTGGAAAAACCGGAAAATTTAATGAATAAGTTATAAAGCAAGTGAAATCTGCTTAACTACTGTTATTAATCTGACTTTTGTAACGAAAGTAACGGAATATTTGTGCTCGGGGTGATTTTTTTCGGAGCTTAAATTTGAAAAGATATTTTTCTTCTCTGATCATTTTTGTAGAGTTATGGGGGTTTGAAGATTGTCGTTTTCGTTTTTTGCCAACTTGGGAAATCAAGGCGCGATATATTTCGCGCTATTAACGCCCAAGCGGAGATTTAATCCGTCTTAAAAATCGTTCCAAATTGGTTGAAGGAAGCTTATTACTTGCAATGATTAATTTGTAACTAGAGGTCAGGGGCGGATTTAAGGGGGGTGGGGGTACGCTTTTTCTCAGGGATTCCACCCCTGCCGACCCTTTGTACTATTTTGACTTATCCATATTTGGTGACTGACCCTAAAAATTTTCTAAAGGCGCCTTCGGTGCCAATATGCAGTAATTTTGAGGGGGAAGCGCGCGCCGAAAAACCGCGATTTTTTGTCAGCATTTTCCAAAAAACGCCTTTTTGGCTTGTTTTTTTTTAAGTTTGCCTGCGGCGCAGAAAAATTTGACAAAAAATTAATTTTTAATGCTTTGGAAGAGCTCAGATAATCGATTTGATCGACATTTTTCAATTTTTTTTTTAAATCCGCCCCCTCGAGAAAAACCTAGATCTGTCCCTGCTTGGAGCGAAATGTATCACTTTGTACTTTATATGGCGTATGGGGGAATGATTTTCACAAAAAATCTCAAATTTACAAAAAAAAAATTATTTTTCTATTACATTTAAATTTTTCATATTATTACTGCTCCATAGACCTGAAAAAGCATTTGAAACATTCAGGGCTTCGCCCTGATACGAGCAGTCTTGTTTCATTTTTTTGCTGATATTCGTTTAACATGGCTAAGCTTTTTACCAGACCGACCTTTTAGCAGACCACAATGCAAAACTTCAATTAAAATAAATTTACGTTAGAGGAAGATTCGAAAAGGTAGCGATTAAAACAAACAAAACATTGCTGAGAAACCGTGAAAACATTGTTTTTAACGAGACTAAACGGCGTCATTACATCTGTCAATCGAATTTGTTTATCGAGTCTGGTAAAAGGTCCATGTTATAACTTTTCTGGTAAAAGGTCGGTCCTTTCGTTTAACAATACCGCCCTTGTAGGCAAACTGTTAGAATCATCTCCCTTTTTTACGTACCTAACTTTTTTTACGTACACTTCAATTACAAGGAACGATAAAATTATGTTTAAAGATTCAATTTAAAAAAAAACATGAAATTGACCTTAACCGACACACTTTAAACAAAATAGCTCATTTGTTGTCTCTGGTGGTGTGCTCTCAATTTGATCCTGAAACTGTGTTTGTTTCCAAAAGAATGCTTTGATGTCAAAGTTAAGTTGGAATCTGAAGTCGAAGTTATGATGGACTCTAGTTGCAATTTAATAAAACATGAACGTGAAAAGTTAGCAATTTTTAAGTCTTTGATTTTATTAGTTTCTTTGACTTTAACTAGATTTTTTGGCCAGATGTTGTTTTTTTATTTGACATTTTAAAAAATGCGAACAAATGTTCGTGCTGGTGCTTTTTTATCTGGCAATTTTGGATGTTATTTTGGACACTTTTTTGATACAGGCAGGAAGATAATGATACCTCGAGGTATAAAATTAAAGACATATTTTTAAAGCAGTTTTTTCCGTCTTTTTGAAGAAAAATACGAGCAATTAAGCTTGGGCTGGTTTTTTTTGTTAATATTTGACTTCTTTTTTAGCATGCTTGATGGAAGTTTTTTCTGCTATCTAAGAGCTTTGTTTTCCGGGGCTCAAAAATCAATTAATATTTTACCTGTGATTCATTTTGTTTAAAAACATGAGGGTTTGAAATTCTCTTATTAGGTCAGTTTGGGAGAATGAAGGTGCGATGTATAAAGACAAAATTTTAAAATGAAGAAAAATAAAAGTTTTCCAATTTTTATTGTTAGTTTTATCAATTTTTCTCCCTAAAATTTTGATTTGACATTGAAGCTCAATTGCAGCTTTCATAAACTTCTACTGGTATACGGGCCAAACATTCCTAATTTTTTTTCATTTTTTGAGATTTCAAAAACAGCTAAATTGGTCTGTTTTGAGATAGTAGCAAATTGATCCAATTAAAGCCTTAATTGTCGCAGATTGGATTTTGCTTTTGAGTTTGCGCGTAAGGAGATAAATTGGAAATAATATTCTATGTTTTTAAATTTTTCTTTTGAGAGTTTTATCCTTTTTCATCCGAAAAGTGAAATATTTACGCTTTTATATCTACCTAGTTTTTGTCAGGTGTTTCACAAATATGAGCAATTTCTTTTAATTAAAAACAATTAAAACCTTCGAATTTTGATAAAAACAACAATATTATGCTCAGAACCGAGCTTGTCATTGCAATTCCAGATGAAATTTTTTTGGTGAAACTTTGAGTTTTTTTGAATTGTCACCTGACATTTTTGACTTTTCAAATTTTTAAAATGATGGAATATAAGGCTGGTAATTAATTTTTGCAATTCAATTAGTTGTTGATGTATTCTTGTTGCACCAAAAAAAAGTATCAATGTCCTGACACTCAGAATGCAAACAATGCGAATTGAGCGGGAGGGGAAGGAAAATAAATTTGTTACTTTCAATTGGACACTTCAATTTTAGTTCTGAATGCACAAAACTTCTAAAAGTTAAACCGGCTCGGAAACTATCGAAATTGAGTTGAATTACAGATGATACAAGTTAGTTTTCAACCAAAAAAAAATATCGAGATTTTTTTTGTTCCGACCATTTGAAAAATATGGAAGAAATTTGTATTCGGGTGTATTCTGTTGTGTTTTAGTTTTCTTTTTTGTTTGTTTTCGACGCAAAATCAGGTAGCACAAATATAATGGTTCGATTGATATATCATTTTAAAGCCTTTTTAGTTGTGATTCGAGCGACAATAAAACATTTGAAGAAAATAGTTTTAGTGTTGAGGAAAAAAGGATTAAAATTTTGATTTTTGGTCCAAGTTTGATCTAATCAGGAGACCGTGCAGGCTTACAATAGCTATTTTAAGCTTAAATTAAGCTTTATTTAAGCCACGAAAACTTAGTTTTTTTCGTTTTAAGTTAGTTTTTGCAGCTTTGCAGGGCCCTTTTGAAAATCAAAAACTTCGAAAATTGTTTTGAGAACTTTTTTTTCAAATTTCAATTCTTTTTTCCTCAAAAACTGTTTTCGAATTGGCCTATTTGACTATGACGGCCGCATTCGCCTTATTATTATTTTTTGTTCAGATTTTTTTCACAACTCGCAAAAATACCGACACACTTTGGTTGGAACATTCTGTGCTACTCGCTCAGTAACCGGCAAATTTAAGTTATGCATGAAAAATTAATTAACAGTGGAAGCTAAAACCCATTGAGCCATTGGTTTTTTTTCCTTCCGCCTGATGTAATTCGCTCCAGTTGGCTCATGACTTGATCCTGGTTGACAGATAATTGTTTTTCCTATTCAAAACTCACTTCCCGCGATCGAGTTGCTGTTTATCTTTTTATTTAGTTCTTTAATGTTGCATCACATTCGTTCCATCATATTTACTAAAAATTTTGACATATCAGTATTTTAATTGGCTAGAGTTTCTCTGCATTATTTGATTATCCAACTAAAACAGGCCATATGTTCATCAAGCTACCGGCTTTATTCGCTTTGTTTTCCTTAGTGGCTAAAGGTGCTTCGTTTAGGATTAACCCTCCTTGTGTTATCTCATATTCTGCGAACTTCAGCTTCCAAGTAAATAATGTGCCATTGCTGTCATTGATTTCGTTGCCTGTTCCTGTAAGTCGCTCAAGGGTTGTTGTTCAATTTTTCTCAGCTGTGTTTTTGGTATGACCAATTGCCATTTTTTCGTCCTAATACTATAATAACTATTTGAAATATTTCTGCATTTTCTCCATTTTGCGTTGAAAGATTGTAAAGGTGTGTTTTTGTCCGTTGCATTCAATGGGAAACTATTTCATTTGATTCCCTGTCCAATTATCCTAGAAACTTAGTAAAAGGCGTTACACCGTTCAAGATTTGCGAAGTGTTTTTGCTCCTACTGAATTTCAAACTGTCCCACTTCCACTCTTGATTTCCCAGAAAACCGGAGAAACTTTTTGACATCATCCGTAGACCTTGAAAAGCCCAAACTGGTCAATTTTATAGCTTTGTCTTCTATTCCGGTTCCTGGTTGAGCGCCTTCGATGAGCTTCACTGATGCCAAGGCACTGCCTTATTTTGTTACTTTTCTAGGTTTCTTCGCGAGATAAGCTTCATGCCTGTGTTGCTCCAAAATGTCTATAAATTGTTTCAAAATGGTGTTTTTTTTATTCAAGTTTTAGTCGAGTAGCCCATGATATGTGGCCAAATATCGTGTGGCATACCGCGCCAATTGTTGATGAGCGCAAACTCTTATGTGAAATTTTCTTTCATGCAAGCGGCTTCAGGCAGAAACAAACTAATTGATCGTAGCAGCGCAAAATTGACATCATAGTCATGGCTCGACAATAGGGAATTCTGATTAGCATGAGTATAAAAACAAACAGATCAATTAAAAACATAAAGCGTATTGCACTTTGTTAATACGTTTTCCCTACTCTTCTGATTACAGTTTACAAGAAGGGTAAAACAGTAAATTACGAATGTTTTTGCTTTTTAAGAAGCATCAACAGATTGAAAAACCAACTGTATTTACAGTAGATCAAAATTCAAACAAAGTAACAAACACTCTCAAAAGAATCTATAAACATGTGATCTAAAAATTTAATTTGACCAAAAAAATCACTCATTTCAAAATAGTGTGTATTCAATTTTGCAGTATTAGATAACAATTTTTTGTCAAACGGACCTAAAATTTTGTTTTTGTTGCAATTTGCATCTTGTTTCAAAGTTGACAATCAATTCTTAGCCAGTTTTCGATTTCGGTTCTAAGACTATAGTGTCTGCTACCGCCTTTGGAATTTGTCGCGCATGTTAATCTTAGGTTTGTCTTTCCTATTATGATAGGGTTCTAGCACATTGCTTCAGATGGTTACCTACCGGCCGGTGGAACATTTTTCCGATGTTCTTCAATCCTAGTGGCTAGATGTCAGTTTTGGTTAAAGGGAGGTGGCGTGGCTTAGTGGCAGATTAAAACCTCTTGTTAATTTCTGCTCTGCTAGTTTAGGGAATGGGATCATGGCTGGGGAAAATTTGATTAGTATCTAGAATTTTTTGTTTTCAGGCGCGTGTATGTAAAACAATTTCAGTCCAAAGGAGTTGAACATATTGTTTTAATGAACGGAATTTAGCCGTAAAACCTGTTGTGTTACTCCGAATTTATCGTTGTGGTATGTTTGTCGCGATTTATTTCGGCTACCGAAATTTTAGTTTTTTTCACGGAAAATTTAAATACCACTTTACAGATAACGACCGACCACTTGGTTTCAAAATCAAAAAGTATTCATGCAAAATCATTTCAAGAAATGAAAGAAAAAGGCGCATTTGTTTTTCCATTTCATTGGTAAAACTTGAGACCGCACTTAAAAGGCCATGTTGGTTACCTTTCGTTTTGATTTTATAGGTTTATGGTGCTGTGGCTTACAAGTGGCGCAATACAGGGAACAAGGACAGAACAAAGCAGGTCTCTCTGCAATAGCTTACTACAACAAAGTCACAAACTTTAGAAATCATCACATCAAGCAACTCAACTGGATATACGTAAGTCGTTTTAAGTTTCGAAGCAATGGCCTTTTGGAAAATAGGAGCAACCTTAACTTCTCGTCCAAAACCAATGGAAGTAAATCCCAACTTATTTTGAGATGAAGTTTTGAAGATCGTGTCAAGCTATCACAACGCAGATGCCGTGTTCAGGCAATCTGACAGCACCAAGCGTGCTAAAATTTTGCCTACTGGAGACAAAATTTAGCAAAAAAAGGTTGCCGGTAAGCCTCTTTTTTTTCGGGATTTAAAGTACCTAGTCGATTCGAGTCCACCATTCCTAACAAAAAACTTTCACTCTTTTGAGAGAATAGAGGGATATTTTAGTTTTTATGTCAATCACAACTTCTTACTTTAGGCAAAACGCATTCCATCTTTATGTGCAAGCGTCATCCTTCAAGTGGGCTATGGGCCGGGACCCCTCTTCATTAGAGAAGATATTGGTGGCGAAGAAAACTTCATTTACCCCCTAGTGTTAAACCGAGAACTCTCTAGAGTCACACGAGGCCAATTGAGGTCATATTTGACTTACGAGTGGTTTAAAATCAGCGTGATTTGTACCGAGCAGTCTTGGTTATGCGAAGAGGTTGAGCCAACGATAGAAAACGATGATTTAGAGTTTCATTTTGACCAATACGAAAGTACCCGCAATCAATTCAGACGCTTATAAACAAGAAATTAAACTTCGAAGTTGGAGTTGTTGAGGACAGACGAGCTCAATGCCAGACTAGTGAAATACCAGACCAAACTCAAGGTCAGACTTGAGCAATAGAAACCTAATTAAAGGTCAACTGGTATAAAACTCAATGCACTCAGACAAGGTCAACTGGTCTGCTGGTATTTGATAAACTAATTATTTAACTGGTAATTAATTAACTGGTACTATTTGATGCTCAGTTTGTCGTGTCATTTTAAAAACACAATCTCAATTCATTCTTCAACAATCAGTATCTCTTCTCTCTCCTCAGTTGAAACCTCAGATAACTCTCAAACCTCTATCCCCTAGTCCTACTTGCTCTAACTCTGAATCTTAACAGGTTATGGGCCCAGATTTCTAAACTTTTTGATTTAATAATTATTTGATTTCTGTCAGAGTTTTTTTTAGCTTTTATCTAGCCTTTAGCAAAGCAGAGATGGACTTGAAACTGGCTGGATTCAGTGGAAAGTCTGAAGATTTTCCAGCTTGGTCGACGAAGTTTGTGGCACTGATGCATACCAAAGGCCTGTTCAGGACTGTGATGGGCAATGACGATCTACCAGAAGCTGAACCTACGCTACCTGAGAATCCGAATGCTGACCAGATGACGGCGTACAACACCAAGATGCAGGAGCGAGCTGTGCTGATCCAGCAGAGGAAAGACAACCGAAACACAGTGTGGTCACATCTAGCTCTGGTCCTGAACAACACCACACTGATGTACATCAAGAACGACTGCGTGGCTGCGGATGGCTATGGCGATGGGACGAAGGCCTGGAGACTGCTGCAAGAGAAGTTTTACAGTGTGGAGAGGCCTACAGTGGTCAGTCTAGTAGGCCAGCTTGCGAAGCTGCGCCTAGGATCAGAGGAGGATCTCGATGACTACTTCGTTCGAAGTCAAGAGCTGATGACGCGGCTGAGTGAAGCTGGGGAAGCAATTACGGACACACTCTTCAATGCGCTCGTGATCAACGGACTGCCTGACAGCTTTGAGCATTTCGTGGTGCAGGAGAGCTTCCAGCCGGCCAAGACTTTTACAGAGCTGAGAACGAGGTTGAGGAACTATGATGACTCGAGACGAGCTCGATGTGGAGAGAAGACTGGGAATGGACACATAGCTATGCAAGCTGTGAGGAAGAAGAAAGGAGCGTCGGGTGGTGGCTGTTTTGTGTGCGGTCAGAAGGGTCATTTGGCAAGAGATTGCAGATCCAGAAGTGACAGTGGTCAATCTGGTGCTCGAGGCAGTGGCTCGAATGAAGCAAGTGGTCCAACTTGAAGGAAGCAAGGGTGGTTCAAGTGTGGACAACAAGGACACTTTGCAAGGGACTGCAAGCAGGCAAAGACAGGGTTCTTCAGTTGTTGTGCAACAACCTCAATGAAGGGAGATGATCTCATTGTGGATACGGGATGCACCGATCATGTAGTGCGCGACAAGGCTGTCTTCTCAAGCTTTGAGAAATGGGATGAGGGGACAACAGTTGAGAATCCGAACGGTACAATATCAAAGATTGAGGGCATAGGCTCGGTGGAAGTGGACATACGAGACTGTCAAGATGTGACGAGGAGCTACACTTTCCACAATGTGCTGTTTGTGCCGAGCTACAACGTGAATCTGATGAGTGTGAGCTCAGCAATAGCTAGAGGGTCTAGTTTCAGCTTTACATCAGACTCTTCTCATCTTGTGGCACCGGATGGTCGACGGCTACCAGTGAAGCAGCGCGGCAAGCTTTTCTTCCTGGAGTGCAAGTTCAAGAGGAACGCGATGACTCTAGCTACGAAAGCGAAGATGGAGACAAGTAGTGCAATGCTGTGGCACCGAAGGCTGGGGCATCTCAACAAGCATGATCTAATATCAGTTGTTGATGTCGGCGAGCTAGGGTTCTGCGAAGTGTGCACAGCTTCGAAGATGCACGAAGTAGCAATGCCAAAGAAGACAGAGAACAGGGCAACTGCAGTGGGGCAGCGGGTCTTCAGCGACATCCAGGGACCATTTGAAGTTGCGAGTATGCATGGAGCGCGCTATGCCGTGAGCTTCATTGATGACTTCAGCCGTCTGGCAGTGGTCAAGTACCTGGTTAAGAAGAGCGATACTCTTTCGAAGTTCAAAGACTTTGTAGCTGAGCACGGAACACCGAAGTGCTTGAGAACTGACAACGGAGGTGAGTATTCGTCGAATGCTTTTCGGATGTTCTGTAGAGAAATGCAGGTGAAACAGGAGTTTACAGTACCTAATACTCCGCAACAGAATGGCGTGGCAGAGAGGTACAACAGGGTGATAACTGAGATGACTCGATGTCTACTGGCCGATGCAAAGCTCTCAAAGATGTTCTGGGTACGAGCAATGTCAACGGCAGTCAGGGTTCGCAACTTGTGTCCTACATCCAGCAATGAGCATCGCATTTCATCAATGGAGATGCATTATGGGAAGCCATCGAAAGTCAACTACCTGCGAGTGTTCGGATGCCTGGCGTACTACCTGGACAGAGGAAACCGGCGGAAACTGGATCCGAAAGGCAAGAAGAGCAAGTTCATTGGTTATGACGAGGAGAGCAAAGCCTACTTGCTGATGGACCTGGAGACAAAGCGAGTGGTACGAGCAAGAAGCGTGACGTTCAATGAAGACATCATTCCAGACGACTTTCTGGTAGACAGTGAGCAGTCACAAACACTGGGTCTATCAATCGAGGGATGCATTGATGTAGAGGAAACTAGCACGAAGACCATCACTGAGTCTACCAATAAAGCGAATGATAGTGGAGCAGCAGCTTCAGTGGGGGTTACGGAAGATGACCCAGTCGAGACTGAAGAATTGGAACCACCTTCCACAGAGCCTCCAGAGCAGAGGCCAACAGAGATTCCAGAGCAGCGGTCAACTAGAACGCGGAACCCTCCCATCCGATACGGACTGGCTTACACTCATGCTTCAGTGATAGCACAAGAGCCAAGAAGCTACTTGGAAGCAGTATCTGGACCAGAAAGGGAGCAGTGGCTAGCAGCTATGGCTTTGGAGGTGCAGTCACTGAAGGCAATGGGCACCTGGACACTTGTTGATAGACCAAATTCTCGCAAGGTCATTCCTGGACGCTGGGTGCTTGCTGTGAAGAGAGATGCAATGGGACAAGTGGAGCGGTTTAAAGCCAGATACGTGGTGAAGGGTTTTATGCAAGTGGAAGGACTGGACTTCAATGAGACCTTTGCGCCAACCTGTAAACCAGAAACAAAGAGAATACTACTGGCTTTGGGAGCGCAAGATGATCTTGTACTTCATCAGATGGACGTGAAGTCAGCCTTCCTCAACTCGCCGTTAACAGAAACTGTGTATATGGAACAGCCCGAGGGGTTCAGCAGCGGGGACAACCAAGTGTGTTTGCTACAACGCAGTATCTATGGGCTGAAGCAGGCAGGAAGGGACTGGTACCAGACGCTGAGCACGTTTCTTCTGGAGACTGGTTTCACTCGAAGCACCAATGACTTCTGTTTGTTCACGATGAGGGGAATGGATGATGCTATGATCTATGTTCTAGTATGGGTGGATGATATCATCATTGGCTGCAAACTGCAAGCAGAAGTTGACAGGGTGAGGGACCGATTCACTGACCGATTCAAGATGGATGATCGCGGTCCATTAGCCTGGTTTTTGAAAATGCAGGTCAAACGGGCACCTGGTTCTGTCACTGTGAATCAGTCTCGCTACATTGAAGACTGCTTGGAGCGCTTTGGGTTGGCTGACTGCAAACCAGTAGGGACACCAGCTGATATCAGCACTCAGTTGACGAAGAAGGACTGCCCTGGAGCGGGCTCAGAAGAAGCAGTGGCAATGCAGCGTGAGGACTACAGAGGCATAGTGGGCTCGTTATTGTACATAGCCAAGCAAACGAGGCCAGACATCCTAGCTACTGTGACTCAACTTTCACGGTTTCTGGAGAATCCTGGGAGAACACACTGGGTGGCTGCTAAGAGAGTACTGCGATACCTGAAAGGAACCAAAGATCTGGAGCTGTGCTACATCAAAGATCCTGATGGGTTCAACCTTTATGGTTCAGCAGATGCTGACTGGGCTGGTGACGTTGATGACAGAAGGTCAACAACAGGCTACAGTTTTCATGTGCAGCGGTCAGGAGCAGCAATCAGCTGGAGTACCAAGAAGCAACCTACTGCAGCAATATCTACCAGCGAAGCTGAGTATCAAGCAATGGCAGCGGCTGTTCAGGAAGGCCTCTACTTACGATCCCTACTCAATGAGATGGATATGACGTGTGATGGTCCAACTGTGATCAACGAGGACAACCAGAGCTGAATCAAGATGTGCAAAAATCCCGTAATGCAGAAGCGTACAAAGCACATTGATGTCAAGTATCACTTTGTCCGAGAGCGGGTCGAGGATGGAACATTTGCGCTCGAGTACTGTCCAACCGAAAACATGGAGGCTGACTTGTTGACGAAATCCCTGAGCAAGGCAAAGGTGGATCAACATCGTCGAACGCTGATGGGTTGCAGCCTGACATTGGACAAAGCCAATTCAGCCTGAGTGGGGGTGTTGAGGACAGACGAGCTCAATGCCAGACTAGTGAAATACCAGACCAAACTCAAGGTCAGACTTGAGCAATAGAAACCTAATTAAAGTTCAACTGGTATAAAACTCAATGCACTCAGACAAGGTCAACTGGTCTGCTGGTATTTGATAAACTAATTATTTAACTGGTAATTAATTAACTGGTACTATTTGATGCTCAGTTTGTCGTGTCATTTTAAAAACACAATCTCAATTCATTCTTCAACAATCAGTATCTCTTCTCTCTCCTCAGTTGAAACCTCAGATAACTCTCAAACCTCTATCCCCTAGTCCTACTTGCTCTAACTCTGAATCTTAACAGGAGTGTCTTGCTTAACCTTCAAATTTATTTCACCTCGCAATTTAAAAGTTTTATTTAAAATGTTCAATATAGCTTTTATTGTTTAATTATTATCATACTGCTGTATTCAAACCAGTAAATAATTGGATTGATTTTTCGATGATCTCCAATTTCCTTTCCGACTCTTTAATCCAAAAAAAAGATTTGTTCTGTACTTGGCAAACTATTATCATTTTTTTTAAAATTAGCTAACAGCAAAAATATTCCATTAACTTGATATACACTCCTAAGTTAAAACACTAAATTAGTCTTTTGAGTGGGTATGTCCAGAACTACATCATCATCAGGCGCACAGACCGTTTTAGCCCTGAAAAGCTGAGGATAAATGACATTGCGTACATTGGAAGTGGGTTTCTTCACTCGTTCCTTGATATCCGACTTCAAACTCCTCGTCTCTTGTTCCAGTAGTCGGCATTCCAGTTTCAGTTTCTCAATGTTGAACCTGAAAAAGATCAAGTTGGACTTTGATGTTCGTTAACAACAAAAAAAATTAATTAGTAGAGTATGTCGTATCAAAAATTTCTTTAGTTACTGTTCCAAGCTATTGTTTTTTAACCAATGAATTTGATCTATAAACATCTAAACAAAGAATACAGTCAAAACTGAGTCACACTGGTAGATTCGGATTTAGGGGGGCGGACGCCCTCTCCCGTCCGCCCCTCAGGGATTCGACCCCTCACCAACCAAAATGTCCTCCCTAGGTTATTATTTTATGAAATCCATTTTAGGCCGACCACCCCTTGAATTTTTCTAAAGGCGCCTTTGGCGCCAATATATACTAATATCGGAGGGGGCTGCGTGCCAAAAAAAACGCAATTTTTTGGTCAAGTTTGTCCAAAAAGTGCCCAAAAAGGTTTTTTACTTGTTTTTTTTTTCAAAAAAAATTGCCTGCGGTGCAAAATCTTAGGTCAAAATAGGGTCTTTATAGTGTCGTGGGAGTGCTCGGAAAAAATCCGCCCCTCTACACAGGAAAACATATTTTTGACTAATGTTTTCTTATTACATTGTTTTTGTTGTCCTTTGATTATGCGACTCATTATTCTAATTTTGTCATCAACAGCCCCCACTTCAACATCCCTCGCCTCCCCTCTCACACTGTTCTTTACCTTATGACTCCGTTCTCCTCGGCCATCCTGGTCCAAGAACTGTGCACATCCCCCATGTAGTCCTCGGCAGTGTCCGCCACCATCCGTCTCTCCCCCTCCTCCCTCTCCCGCATCATCTTGCCCCTCTCCTCCTCCATCAGCTGCAGAATGTCATTCGTGTGCTTCTCATGTCTCTCAGCCGACGTCACCTGTGACAGAGTTCGTGAGGCGACAATACCTTAAAAGCGACATTTGGTCGAAAGCGACCAGTCGCACTTCTTCGTATAAGCTACAACTCGCACCAGGCGGGCATCCCTTCAAGAAAAAAGAGGAAAGTCTGTTTGAGCCTCAAAAAAATTCGGTAATGACTTAAGAGCCATTTAATTTTATAGATCTAACCAAACAATATCATGAATGTAACCGTTATTTTGTTTAGTTAGTAATTATGAAGTTACTCAAGTCATTGTACAGGTTTTTAAGGCAGAAAACATTACTTTTCCTATTTTTGGCTAATATCATAATAAGGTGTCTCAGGCTTAGGACTATGTTAGGAATGTGTATTTAACTTTGCTTTGAATTGTTTAAGTTTCGTCTTCGACTCCGACCTACGACTTTTATTTTGTGGTTCAAATTATGTTTCTGATATAAGTATGGTGATAAATAGTACCCGCATCCAAGTTTAGGCTCAAGCAATCAATTACAACGGATAATTCTGTGGTTTTTGACATTGCTTTGTAATTACACCGGAACTAGTTGTTTAAAAGATTTTCAATCGATTATAGTCGTGATATTTTCCAAACTATTATATCTCTTATAATCCATTATAATTGATTTCAGTTCATACGGAAAAACTCTTGGTATTGATTATAATCGATTAAAATCTCTTATTTTGCAGAAATTTTGTCACACCAAGAGTATATTTTTATTAATTATATTTTAGGTTAATATGTTTCGATAAAAAAGAAAATGTTCACAAGTGAGATCTCTTGTCACACTTTGGTTCATCCGAACACCGCAAAACAAAAGTTTCATAGAAATCCCTTCATTTTAGTTGAAAGATTGCCGCGGTAGGTGAAAATCAACTCTTCCAAATAAATGGAATCTCTACAATGTCCTGATATTTTCATGGTTAAGAAACATTAACAAGTGCTCTATGAAATCAGTTCTATTTGAAAAAAAAACGAAAAAAATGGAAACGTTAATTTGAAATGATTTAAAAATTTCTGCAACAAACTTCCCAATTTTTAGATAAATCAACGTTTGTTAAAATCATAAAATAAAGCAGTTCAGATGCAAGGTAGAAGAAAAAATTGGCAAACAAAATAGATTAAAATTGTTTATAAACAATCGGAATGGCTTTTTTTCTAACAAATAAATTAGTATTAAGGATTAAAAAAATCGATTTCAATTGTATAAAAATGGATCAAAAATCAATCATAACCGATTGAAACGTTTTGTAATTCAGTGTAATTTGTTTTGAAAGCGAGATTAATATGATTTTTTACTAAATTATAATCAATTTTTTTCTCATTTTGGTAAGAAAGGTACTAAAGTCATTTTCTGATTAATTATTAACGCTTGAAAATGAATGCGGCTATACTAATAGCTTTATTGTGAAGCCAGAAGCTCATAAACGTTGTATCTCGAGGTATAAAGGTTCTTTGAGATATCGAAGGCTCAAGATATGACTCAAGTTTGGCGTGCTATGATAAGTTTTCTAAATACCGTTTGAGAAGTTTTCTAGGCTTTCGAAAACTGAGACCACTACACAACAAATTACTGCATCCTTTTTCTTTTTGTACATACTTTTTTGAAAACTGGTAATCAATGAAATGCAGGGTCAGGTCATTGCATGCTTAATTATATAGTAAATGGCATATCTCATTCAGCATGCGTGGTTAATCAGAATTTGAACACATTTATCGGGGTCAAATACAGACTACTGAAACAATCAAAAGGCTTTCAAAATGAGTTTTTTTTTCGAAAATTCATGTGACCTTGATTCTTGAGCTAATTGGGCGGCACCATAAGTTTTGAACTTAGTTTTCAAATCACTCAGTTTAAGGTTGGAAGTTTGTTTTTCAGCTGAAACTTAATCCAAAGCGAAAAAATCGCCGAATGAATTGTTGTGGTTCTTATTTGATATTTGATTTTAAAATGACTTGAGTTTTACTCTTAGTATGGATTTCAATTCTAACATGTTATGGAAACATCCTATTAATTGAAACAAAAACTGAACACTAGGGGTGGTGGGAGTGAACTTTAAGCTCAGGCGTTTTCTTTTCTAGTGCTCAAAAGTGTATAACAAGTTGAATCGATATTGATACCACCTTAACGCCGTTTAAGATGCAATTTAAGCTGTAAAACTATGCAAGGTGTGTCTTGACGAGGGAAACTGCTTCAAAATTTTTGACTTCTGGAACATTTGGATTGGCATTTAAAAAAAGATTTATTCATAGCTCCTCTTTCACTGAATTTGACAGCAAAACTTCCTTCTTTGAAGTTAATTAACTGCTTGACAAAACTTGCTCGTCTCAACAATAATTAGAACTTCAAAAACTTCTTAACTAATTGAATTCAAAAGATTCTACACAACTAAAAAGAGAACTTCACAGTTTTGAATAATTTATTTTTAAGTTTCTGATACATAAAAATTGGAAATTGAGTTTCTAAAAGAGAATTTTTAAAAATATGACTTTCTTGATTTTCGGAAATTGTCAAAAATGTTAAACTGGAAATTTTTAGCTCCTTTTTGACCCCATTTTTAAAAATCCTATAACACCTTCAGTTGTTTGCTTAACGCATTGAAATTGAGATGAACTAACTCAGTAGCACTTTTTTCCAGAATACGTAATTAGTTTGGCTGTTTAAAATTGCTCAGTTGAAAATCAGTAGCGGTCCACCACGGCATATTTCGGTTTTTTATCAAATGTCAATCAAAAATTAGTACTATGCAAGGGTTGTTAAACTTTTATTTTTTCTATCAAATTCAAAAATTATTTTTCGTATAACTTAGAATTGAATACCTTCTTGGAAAGCAAGACTTTGTTTTAAGTTAATAATTGCAAAATTCCAACATATTTAAGCTTTCTTCAGCTCTCTCGAGTTGTGCGCAATATCTGATTAAACCATCAAAAATAGGTCAGATAATTGGAAACTATAATTAATTTTAACTGTATTTTACCATCTCATTTTTGAGCTGTTCGATCTCTGAGTTGTTTCTGAAGAATGCGTCCTCTTTGTAGGTGAGGAGAATGGAGTGCTGCTTCTTAGCTTCCGCCAGTTTGGCTTCCACCTTTTGAACCTGAAGAGGAAAACGTGGACATTCACTTCTATTTTACGGCTTCAGTCATGACAATGGCAATACGTTTTGGATGATTAAGATTCCAATTTCAGATCGTAGTTTAGTTGTTTCTTTTTAAATGATTTCTTTTTGATTTTTGAGTTTTGAGTTTTTCAGCTTACTAATTTGGCGGCATATTCATGTCAAAAATGTGGCAAAATTAGGTCCGGCAAAGAAAAAAGTTCAAATGTCGTTGACATAGCCGGGCCCATCTGCAGGTTGCAAATTAGAAAATTGTTCGTTGAAGCTGATGGTACGTCGTCGTTGATTGTAATGGTCATCTAGTTGTTAGCTGTCGTTGATCATGTTGGTCATCTAGTTGTTACTGTGGTCCAATACTCGCGAGAGTTTGACTGCTGGTCGGTGTAGAATCCCCCTGCTAGTTTTAATTTCGCAGGAGCAAACGATTCCGTCTGCACCTGGGAAAGTACGAAACACCCGTCCCAGGGGCCAAAGACCTCGAGGCGTTAGGTCTTCCAGTATCCATACAAGGTCTCCTTGCTGAAGATTTTCCACTTGCTTTGTCCATTTCGTTCGGGTCGTCAAGGTTGGCAAGTAGTCTTTGAGGTATCTGTTCCAGAACTGTTGACGCAAGGCTTGAGCTTGTTTCCAAGTTCTCTTGTCCGTTGTGTGGCGAGGGAGAAACAATCCAGGAGGCAAATTGTTTGTTGGTCGTCCTAGTAGAAGGTGATTAGGTGTAAGGGGCTCGTCGTCGGTTGGGTCTGATGAGGCGTGGGTTAGCGGGCGAGAATTCATCATAGCTTCAACCTCGCACGTGAAGGTTGACAGAGTTTTGTCGTCCAGTGTCCGCGTTCCAATGACTTTGTAGAAGGCAATCTTTAATGTTTTTATGAGGTGTTCCCATGATCCACCAAAGTGAGGAGCTGCAGGTGGGTTGAACTTCCAGGTTATTCCCAGTAATTGGCATTGATTGTTGAAGTCATTGCTGTGTTGAATCTCAGAAAGGCTTTCCTGTAATTCCTTGTCAGCTGCAACGAAGGCTTTTCCGTTGTCAGAGAAGATGATCCTGGGTTTACCGCGTCTAGCGATGGAACGGCGTATGGCTTGTAGAGTTGAGTTTGTGTCGATTTGCTGGCATATTTCTGAATGAACTGCTCGCGTGACGAGGCAGGTGAAGAAGAGAACGTATCGCTTACTGTACTCGTCGTTGTTCCGCGTGGCAAAGGGTCCCAAGAAGTCAATTCCTGTTGAGTAGAAGGGGTAACTGTTTTCCGATAAAGGGAGTCGTTGTAGGGGTAGATCTGCCCTCAGAAGCTTCACTGGTTCCTGCCGAAGGCGTCGGCAAGGTATGCATTGTCGAATAGTTTTCTTCAGATGCTTGCGTGATCTTATGATCCAAAAGTCCTGCTGAAGAATGCTTCGTGTGTTTATTTCCCGACAATGGGAACTTATTTCGTGTGTTTGCTTCATGAAGAGTTGTATTGGGTAGTTTTCTGCGTTCAGAATGACTGGATGTCGGCTGCAAAGTAGAAGCGGGGCTTTCTGTAGTCGTCCTTTGGCACGTAAGTATCCGTGATCGTCGATGAAGGGGCAAAGAGGTTGTAGAGGGCTGCGGGGTGGAATGTCAGATTTCTTTGTCAGGCATGCTTTTTCCTTGGGGAATGATTGATTCTGTGAGTGTTTAATGATCCATGCGAATCCTAAGGTGAGGTGTTGAAGTGAGAGGCTCTGGCCTGTCTTCCTTTTGATGTTTTCTGCGAAGAGAAGAACATATGAAGTAACTCTGAGTGCTCATGTCCAAGTGCTAAATCGGTTGAAGTCGATTACTGATGTTGGCGGTTGTGGGTCGTTGTCTGTCAGATGAATGTCGGCTGTAGGTTGTGTTGGCGGGTGATTAGGCCAATCTGATGATGGTTTTAACAAGAAGTCTGGTCCTCTGATCCATCGTGAATCGGTAGTCATGTCACATGCTTTGTAACCACGTGTTCCGTCGTCTGCAGGGTTGTCTTTGCTGGGCACGTATCTCCAGTCCAGTGAAGATGTTGAGTCCATGATGAAATTCAGGCGGTTGGCAATGAAGATCCGGTGTCGTTGATTCGGCGAGTTTATCCAATGAAGAACTGTTGTACTATCTGTCCATAGTGTCGTACTGTCGATTCGTATGTCATGTTGTTCTTTGATGAAACGAGACAGTTTAGCTCCGTTAGTGGCGGCTTGAAGCTCGAGATTTGGAATTGTCATTCTGCTGATGGGTACTACTCGGGCTTTTCCAATGACGAACTTGAGTTCCGTTGTGTCGTCGTCATATCTGATTCTGAGGTAAGCAACTGATGCTAAGGCAAGTTCGGAGGCGTCGCTGAATAGATGGAGTTGGGTTTCCAGTATCTTCCTTTCTGGTTTGAAGTAAATACGGGGCAGACAGATGTCGTTGAATTGGCTTCGCTTGTCTCTCCAATCGTTGAGGTCTTTAAATGCTCCATGTTTAGAGGTTTGTCCCATTGAGGTCCATTACTCCAGGCAAGTTGAAGTGAGTGTCGTAGTCGAATTGTCAGTGGCATCGTAATTCCAAGCGGGTCAAAGATTGAAGAAGCAAACTTCAATAGTTTGCGCTGCGTTAAGTCATTCTTGTCAATGGCGTGAAACTTCTTTGCTTCCACAAGAAAGACGTCCGTGTCTGGTTTCCATTTCACTCCAAGAACTCTTTCGAGGGGTCGTTCCTTCTTGGCGAGGCTGTCGCTGTTTTCCAAGTGGTTCTCGTTGACTGTTGTGAGGAATTGTTGAGAGTTTGAGGTCCATTTTGTGAGGTTGAAACCTCAAAGGCTGAACATCTTTTGAAGGTCGTTCATTAACTGTGTCGCTTCCGTCGGTGTTGAAACGGCTTTGTATAGGTCGTCCATGTATATGTTGCGTTTTGTGATTTGCTCCAAGGCTGGATATTTGTCGGCATTGTCCTTCGCACATTGTCGAGTGGCGTAGCAGGCAGCACATGGTGAGTCGGTAGCTCCGAAGATGTGGCTGGTGTATTGAAAGGTTGCGGGTTGGTCCGTGTTGTCCTTCCACAGAAATCGCAAATACGGCTGGTCCTCTGGGCTCACGAAGACCTGCATGAACATTGCTTCAATGTCGGCAGAAATAGCGATTTGGTCCTCGCGAAATCGCATAACGATTCCAGTAAGGTTTGTGAGGAGGTCTGGTCCAGTTAGTAGGTTGCTGTTGAGTGATACTCCTTTGTAGATGCTCGATACATTAAGGACTCGGCGTACCTTGCCAGGTTTATTGATGTTTGTCACTGGATGATGAGGAAGGTACCATTTTCCTGTTGAGTCTTCATGAGAATCATCAACTTTGACTATGAAACCTTTCTGCAAGTCGGTGTCGATGGTCTCCTGATATTTCTGTGCCATCTCGATGTTTCTCTTCAGTCGTTGGAGAAGGCTGGCGAGCTGCTTCTTGGCAAGCCATCTATTTTTTGGCAGTTGTTGTCCACGTTTCCAAAGCATTCCAACTTTGTAGTGACCATTGGGCAAGCGGGTTGTTGAAGATTCCAAGATGCGGAGAGCTTCCTTGTCGTCTGTTGAGAGGCTGCGTTGGTCAGTTGAAATCCCTTCGGCGTCCATTTTCATCCATTCAGCTACGTGGCGAAACAGTGTATCGTCTGTCGTGAAGTTGATTGTGTTGATGTCGTTGGGTGTCGCTGCATTGTCTCGTCCACAGAGAGACAATCCAAGTGGCGTTTTCCATCCAAGAGGCACATTTTGTTTTGAATGGATTGCTTCTGAAGGTGTCACGAGTTCGGCGAAATCGCATCCAATGATGATTCCGATTTCTTTCGAGGGCAGTGTGGCTATCCGAATGTGTTGAAGTGGCTCGTTCCTTTGGCAGATGGAGTTGACGAGTTCAGGGTTGAATTGGGAAAGATTCCAATCCATTATGACGTCCATGTCATTTAGTTGAAATGGCTACTTTTGCTGGTTGCAGGGTCCAATCGCGATCGTCATCTTTGTAGAAGCTGTGTCTGATGATGTCAATGCTTGGTTTAGCTGGATGGTGTCGTCTAATTGCAGATCTGGTTTGAGTTGGAGGGCGTTTGATGATTTAAGCAATGTCAGTTTGCTTCCACAATCAAGCATTGCATAGGCATGAACTCTCTGTTTGCCATGAGAGATCGTTATTGGCAGGGTCGGAATGTGGCGAGTCGATTTCCTTCTGCTTATGCTGGTGCTGCAGTTGGTGGTGTCGTCATGTTGTCTGGAGTTCCGGTTGGCTGTCTCCCTCTGTGTCGTCGAGTTGTAGGTGCTGCTGTTGTGCAGAAGTGTGTGGTGTTTCTTACTGCATCCGTCCGTCCAGCAGGTTTGCGTTGATTGACAGTCGGCGAACTTGTGGGGGCTGAGGCAGTTGAAACATAGTTGTAGGTCCCTGGATTGCTGTAATCTGTCCTTTGGGTTCATTGCGATTCTCCGGGCAAAAATCTCGTCGTTGATCCTTTTGTCCAGATTTATGTTGCTGCTGGCTGGGTTGCTGGTTCCGGTTGTTCTGATTGGCGCGGTGATCTGATGGTCCATGTTGGTGGGTGTGACCGTTGGATGATGATCCTTGAGTGTTGCTGCTGTTGTAGTTGTTGCTGCTGCTGCTGTTTCTGGTGTTGTTGTTGTTGTTGCTGTTGCTCGGCAAATCGCTGCATACTTCGGTGTAGATGTTGAACCAATTGGTGAGGTCGATGAGTGATGGTTGTCTGATGGTGCATTGCAGATTGTATCTATTCCATTCTAGTCGGCAAGTGGTAGGCAGTTTTGACAAAACTGTTTGGACATTTGTCGTAGAGTGTAGATCGTGCTGGAATCCAAGTGTCGTGAATGTATCGACCATTGTCTGTACGAAGTTGGCGAGGTCCTTGTAGCTTCTGGTATGTCGTAGATTGGGGCCGCTGATGGCGTCGAGTCGTCAAAGGAAGGATGTAACTATCTTCGTCGGGTTACCAAAGTCGTTTTCCAGTCGCTGAA